AGCAATACTTGGACTATTTCTTTTAGTGGCATTCTTTTTTTATCTGTCTACAATTGTTTTTTTTTATTTGTGTCCCACCTTGTGCCAAGCTTTGTGGAGCTGTGTGAAGAACTGGGTCAGAGACTTGACTTGGTTAAAAATAACTCATCAAAAGAAGGATCTTTGTCAGTTCTCTGTCTTGCTCCTGTTGCACAGTGCAACAACTGTTGCATCTGTGAAGCTACCTGTCAAGGGTGATTTTTGAAGAGAAGTTAAAATTCTACTAATAATAGCAGACTAATCAGTATTGCTTTGTCCAGTTGACAATAGGTGAGAGACTGTAGTTGGAAAACTGTGCCAGGCTGTGGTCAGCAATTAGTGGGGTAGATTGAGATAAATGAAGTCACAGGAATTGATCTAACAGCAGCTGCAGAATAATGTGATTAGAAGATAACAAACTGGTAGGAAAGAAATGTATTCAAGCTAGGAAGAAACGAGTGAAGGAGATTTTCATAGTTCTTAGGTGTACAGGGGGATGGTGGGGGGTTTTCTGCTGCAATAGCAATGATTAGGAAACATTTTTTCAACTTGCATTACACACACCTGAATTACATTAGAGATGTGTCTAATTTTGGCTGTAGCTGTGGTGAGTGGAATGCATGACTTCAGGAGAGTGTCGTTGCAAGACTGTGTTCTAGAACTCAATTTGAGGTTGCATTCCAGTAAGTTTTTAAATTGGAAAATGTTCTGTCATATGTTTTCAGTTTGCAGAGAACTTCAGACTTCTCATCAATGAACTACTGTGTACGAGATACAGAAATAATATTGTTAATATGATACATTTCAAAATTTTAAACTGTGAATTAAAATCAATCCACAGTTATATTTTTATTAACAAAACGGAAGCAAGTTATTATATTGAAAATTTTATCTTTTTATATCTTAAGTAAACTAATTTTTAATGTAATGCCTGTTTTTCATTTGAAGGTTATTGTTAATATGTACAGTGAAACTTAAAATAATTTTTTTTCTAAATTTTCTAAATATTGAAGCACAAGTATATTCATATGCTTTGGTTTAACTCAAGTTTGTGTCAAATATATCTTGTTAAATGAATGTGAAAACTTGTTTTGTATTTCTGGTGCATGGTTTACATGGTATTGTTTGTGATCTTTGTTGAATTCAAACATAAGAGAAAACTTTGTTACTGTAAAGGTGATCACTCAAGTAGGTTGTCTAGAGTGGGTTGTAGAGTTTCGCTACTTGGATATATATAGTCGAAATCCCAACTGGACACAGTCCAAAGCAACCTGCTGAGCCTGCTTTGAGCAGGGTGAGGTGGAGCAAATGATCTCCAGAAGGCCTTTCCAAGTTCAACTATTCTGTGATTCTGTGTAGGGTTTCTTTGTGTTGAACAATTTTCATGTTTATATTCTTGGTGTAAGACTTCTTTTTTAATCAACAATGTCCTAGTTTGGATGAAATGATACAAAAGACCCTTCTCTAAGTATGTTCACTCCCCCCTCCATTAGCACACAGCATGTATGTTGTAACTTCCAGCCTGCTGAAGTTGTCTTCAGGTCTTGCCTCTTGCCACCCTCTGGTATGGAACAGTAAGTACTTAGGTAACTCTTCAAGCAGATGAAATATTTTTATCTTTACTATGTAGGTGGCATGTATGTTGCTTCATTTATTGTTTTAGCCTTGAAGTCATCCCTGTTTAAATACTGCTGTACTTTTGCATGAATAATATTTACAGATAATGGGCTTCATTTGCCTTGTAGAAGAACCTGGGGGCAGGGAGACTGATATTCTGGAAGAATCTCCCAGGGAGATTTCCTGAGTTCTGGGAAGTGTGTTTCACTGCATTTGGTAAAGAAATGATTTGTTCCACTTGATCTGGAATTTGTGAAGGTTCACAAACCTCTCCAAGTTCAAGAGCCTCTTATTTGAAACCTCTAAGGGTTGTAGAAGGTATGTGCTTGAAACAGTACCCTTCAACAACATAGTGCTTCCCAGCCATGTCTGGTTTCTGCCAGCTCCTGGTATTTCTGATGCTGCTGTTACATCTTTGCAGTATGATGACTGAACATGCAATTTAATAATTCACAGCTACTGCACCGAGGTGTGGTTTTGTGGGTTTTTTGTTTGTTTGGGTTGGGGTTTTTTTTTGTTGTTGGGGTTTTTTTTTGCATCAACAGCTTTCAACAATTCTGGAGCTTCACAGAGTTGTTTGCCATACTCTACTAAATTGCAGTAGTGTTACCTCAGGTTCTTCATATCTAAGGAGATTAAAACAATTGTGAAGCATTTTATCTTGAAGATGGCTCTGCATTCCTTGAAGAGTTTAGGGAAATTCCTTATCCTCTCTCTTCTTAAGGAGATGAAAGCCCTAAACTAAATCTCAGAGAAGCAATCCTTTGATTATTTTTTTTTATTATTATTCCCCTATTCAGTATAGCTTATTGCCTGTTTCATGCTTAAATCTTGCTTCAGGGAATTTCCAGGTATACTGTTTTGAGTATGTTCGGTCATGATGTCACTCAGCAGAGAAATTTTGACTAGGTGTTTTCATCTAATGATTTTTACTCAACCTTCAGTCATGTTTCTTATGAGGTTATATTCTGTATTTGAAAAGAGGACTTCTTTAGCTAGCTAGGAGTGGATTTGACACCCCTTGTTCAGCAGCAGAAGAACATTCTTTTTGGGGGAGGATAGGTGGGGAGGATTGGGTGGGGGTTTTGTTTTTGGTTTTCTTTGGGTTTTGTTGGTTGGGTTTGGTTTTGTTTGTTTCTGGTTTTGTTTTTGTATACTTATCTTTTTGCTTTTCTTAATACTTGCATCTGGTGTATTTATATATATTTCCCTTGAATCCATGCTTGACTTTCCTGTCTCATACTTACCTGTCACAGTAGCTTAGTTATTAATTCAGTTTTTAAGGGAAGTTTTTTTTTCTATCTGGCAGTACTGCCAAGCTCCAACAAAAGGTAATTTGTAGTTCAGCACTGGCTTTGAAATTGCACAAAGCCATTACTGCCTAATGATTCCATAAGCTCAAAATGCCTCTATCATTGCTTCTTTTCATAAGACTCATGAGAGTCTGGTTAACTGATCTGTTGGTGCTAGGCCACTGAATCCACAAGCTTTTTCTATTTTGCTTGTAGTCAAGTATTTGGATGTTCCATCAATCTTCCAGCATACAGTACTTTAAAAATAATTACTTTTGCTGTCACACTGGTTTTGATTCCCAGCTGTCTCTAGAATCTCCACTGCTTTAGCTCTGCTAGTTATTTAAACTCGGTGTATTTATTTTTGTCATTAGTTTGAGGTTGAGTAAAGGTTTAGGTGTTGATGCCTCAGTTTTTATTTGAATTGTCATCTGTCAATTTACACTATCATTTCTTTCCTGGTGGCACTTTTTGTAGTCCAACTGACCTGTTGAAATTAGTGTGTTGCATTCAACTAGACTGAATTAGTTTTTTATTCAATGGATTTTGGAAAATGCCCTGTGATCCCCTGACTTCTCTCCAGACATCATGCTGCAGAAATACTACAGTGGGAAAACAGAAATAACCGAGGAGCTGCGGGACAACTGTGTGAAGTGTGATGCAGGCACAGACAACTGATCTAATGCAGTAGTTTTTGTCCAGCAGGATCTGAGCTGCATGTACAGCCCTAAACCTGCTGATCCTCTTGTGATTTATTTGTAACTGTTTGTCAACTTGCCGCAGCTTCCCATAATAGGTTTTACAGCAACTTATTTTCATGAGGTTCCAGAATCCTGGTGCATGGCAAAGTGATAACTAAGTAGCTCTTTGTTGAACTGTGTCTGGCTCAGTTGTAGTTGATAAACTCATCTGATTCATTGGATGGAGTTACTGAAGTCTGTTTTCTGATCCAGTGGTGCTGAAGTACACAGGCTAACAGCTTGTGCATCGAGTGGCTCAGTTATTGTTATGTGAAAATATAGTTCACTTCTTCTTTTGGAAGAAGTTTGGAAGGAACTTGACTGCAAGTAGGGCTCCTCTGCACTCTCAATTGTGTTCTATGAAAGCTGTGAAACCTTTCAGGACAACTTTCTCTAAGTCCAGTAATAGTACATCCCAGTAGTTAGGAAAATGAGCAGATGTGAAAAGAGACCAGGTTTGCCAACAAGAGAACATAACTGAGCTCAGGTGGGAGGGGTGAGGACAGAAATTAATGCCCATGGGTGTAAATTAGACTGAGATTCTCTGCACTGATGGTCTCTGCACTGATGGTCACAGGCAAAGTCTCATGGACTTCTGTGCCTGAGATGGAGAGAAATTAGTAGTATTAGAAAATTATATTGGGTCTCTAGAGAAATATTAAATCCATTGGATTAGATGGGATTCTTCTGAGCATGGTGAGAGAGCTAGCTAATGTTGCAAGCCATCTTTCTCTTCAAAAAGTTGTGGAGATCAGGGTTGCATCTCAGTGACTGGAGAAAAATGTTACAGTCATCTTCAGGAATGTAAAGGAAGATTTAATCGGGGAACTGCATGCTGGTCAGCTCCAGTTTGGTCCCTGAGGAATTGTGAAGCCAGTCTGTTTAGATGTCTGTTTAGATGGCATATGAAGGTGAAAACAGTAATTAGGAATACCAAGAATTTTTGCCGACCAGATTTTCTGGAACTGTTGTTGGGGAGACTGAAGCCGTGATGCCATCTACATTGACTATAACAAGTGCTTCACTGTGGTATTTCAGGGGCATCCTTGTGTCTCATTTAGAACATTGCAGTCTAGATGAGACTGCTCAGTAGATAAAAAGGCAGACTGGATAATTTGGCTTTGAGATCCTGATTTGGAATGTGTCATGCTTAGTATCTTATCAGTGACCTGGCACAAACTGGAATGCCCTTGAATAAGATTGCAGGTCATCATTGTGGAGCAGGATGCAGTCAGTATGTTTGAAAACACAGCATGCTACTCTGAAATATATGAAATCTGTTTAGCAGTTGTGTTTAAAATTTCTTTCTGTAAGTAACTGTGTTTCATTTCAGATTATGGAGCTCTGTGGTGCAACAAGACTTGGCTATTTCGGAAGAAGTCAATTTTACATTGCTTTGAAACTTGTTGCTGTGGCCCAATCTGGTCTCCCTCTAAGAGTGGAAAGCTTAAATACAGGTAAATCACAGGATCGGGGGAGTGAGGATTGAGTTGCTGGTAGTTGGCTCACATATTCTTACAGAGTAACCTTGTAAATTAGTGTCATGTGTCTTTATACATGTTGCAAATTTAAAAAAGTGGAGAGACAGAAAGAGTGTTACTGTGCAATAAATATCAGTTGAAATTCTTAACTTGTTGAAAAAGTATTGCATTCACTATGGGACGAATGAACAACTTGTACCTACTACGTAGGAGCAGGTTGATTCTATAGATTACTGATGTGAGAAATTGTGTGCCATGTCCTCTGAGTAAAGTACTAAGAGGAGAATGTAAACTGGAAGAAGAAGAATGCAGCATTTGCAGGCTTTTGTAGCTGCTGGGTTTCCAAAGCCTTGATTATGAGAAACAGAAGGTTATCTTTTCTAGCATTACATTTCTTTGCACTTGGTTTGACAGTTTTTTCCCTTCTAAGAACAGATATGAAGATTAGTTTAAGATTTTTTTTCTGAGTGAAAAGCCTTCCCAGAACTCAGGTAGAAGACCTAAAAAGTCTGTTACCAGCCAAATCACCTGTTACCCTACTTTTTAAAGGTCAGCTGTGGTGTGGGTGGTGAAAGAGGTGAAACAGGAGGAAGGCTTATTCCAGGAAGATGGTTTAGAGCCACAGGAAGAGCTTTGATGTGAGGCTCTCCTGTTGCCTTCTGAAGAGATAAGTAGCTCCATGTCCTTGTTGTTCTGTAAGATGAAAAGAGACTTAGGAAGATGAAGTAATGAGTTTTAAGGCACTTTAGCCCTTGCATTATAATACATAACTCACAAGTTAAAAATATCTTTAGAGCACAGTTTTGCCTTAGAGTGACTTTCCTAGTAGATTTCATGTCTGTAGAATACTGGTATGATTTTTATATGCTAGTAAATAAAAGAAGTCTTAGGAGGTTTTTGTATCTAAAGGATATAGATTAAACAGCAGTTAAGGAGATGGTTAAAAACAATATGACTGAAGTGTTTGACAAAGCTATAAAAAAGAAAGGAATCACTGTGTATACATTCACAGTTGTGTTTATTCTAGGCTCATACAAACTGTTTATACTGCTTTCATGGGGTTTTGTAGCTTTTTGGAAAAGTGTATTGTATTAGTCAATGTTTTGCTAGTATTCAAGCTCCTTTCTGTTTATAAGCCACTGTGTGTTTATAAACCATTTCCCTAGTTTTCCTGATGTGTTCCCTAATCTAAAGCTTTAGCAAGTTGAGCAGAATGCCCTAAAATCAGAAGGCTGGAAGAAGAACTTCAACTCATAATACTGATAAAACTGGAACTTGATCAAACAATTACAGAATTTCTCATCAAATGCCTGTTGGAGGAGGGAAAGACATTTTTCTTGCCTGTATGTAGGCATTTTACAGGGATTTTATAAGCTTGGTCTTATTTTAATGCAAGGTGCCTTAATCAGAAAGAGCTTTTCTATTTTTATAAAAAGAAGTCACGATAATTTTGAAGGAAAGAAGTAAATGAAGGTACAGAGTTAACTTTAATTTCACATTGATAATTTCCTTGATTCATGACAATATTAGAAATACTTGTAATGATTTCTGAACTTCTAGGAATAATTTTCTGTAACTGGTTCCAAGCCTACAAAATACACCAAGTACGATAGAGAGAACATTTATTTTTACCCTAACTGTTTTTAGCTATGGTCTGTTGCCTTGGTTGCAGTGGTTCCAGTCCTGTCTATGAATTTCCTGCTTCTAGAATGATTCAAGTGTTGTTATAACAGCTAACTCAACGACTAAAATGCAGGAGGCTGATAAAATGATTCTGAGCTTTGCAAACTTAGTTCTACCCACATTACATCTCCAAGATGTTTTGAAGACGAACTGTTAGAGACTCCCAAACTATGTTCTATATTCTTTCTCTCTTCAGACATTTTAAATTAGTTAAAGCTTATATTTTTAGACATTTACTTCTTAGCTCTCCGTTTTATGCATGTTTCATTGATTTTCTTAATTTTCTTCATTCATTTATTTTATGAATTTCTTTCACCTTCCTACTTGTTCCTTTTGCTTTTTGATGTGTCTTGTCAGTAGACAAGAAATCTGCTTTATCTGAGTTGCTGAGTGGAAACTCAGTCAAATTTTGAATACTAAGTCTGACATAAGTGTGGTCCAGCTGGTTCTGAAGTGCTCTTTGGATTACTCAGATGGGCAGTAGAATAAGAATACTGGCATTAGTTATTATATTACAAGCCTCCAAAGCTGTTGTTCCTTTGTCCCAGAAAATTTTCCTTCCAGGAAGCTGAAAATTGAGACATGAATGAGCGATGTCTATTTCAAAGCAATATATATTTTTTAAGTATGGAATGCAGGTTTTGGTGGAAATAAATATTAGGAAGGATGTGAGCATAAAAAGTACAGAGAACTCTTTAATATATTCAATATCAAGAGTTAGTTCCCTTCATGACAACGCTCACATTTATAATTGAAGGATTTCCGAATGGTAACAAATATTGAAGTGTTGAAATGAGATTTTTCTGCTGTTACTGGAAAAAGTCAGAGAGGAGAGAGGTAAAAATAGAAGGTTAGTCATGTAGGAAGCTAGAAACAAACCTATATTTATCTAGTCTTGCTTTTAAAGAAGACAGTAGGGTATTTTGTGTTTCTTTTGAGTCCCCTATTATTTTGTGACTCGTGCTGGCACAGCCGATTGCACAGACTTCCCCTGTGTCAGTTGGATCATCTGGTGTCTGTATTTTCCTGGTTTTGCAGACATACACATTTTTGCTTGTATGCAATGGCTTTTTCACTTTTTGCCTGGCTGTGGTTTGCTGTTTAGTTATGTTACTTTCCTGCTGCAGCATGGGGTACTATTCTCATGCAATAAACAGTATGCAATTTCATCTCGTATTTTAATATAGTTGTAGTACCACTGACTCATTCTCAGTAGCAGGAGTAATTTACGTAAGCAGTCAGCAAGAGAAATTAAATTTGAGCCATGCTTGTAATTTTGTGTTGGAGACATAATTTCCAAGTCAGCTGTACAGCACATTCACAATTTATGTTTATTCAGTGTAGCATGAAGAAGATTGCAGTTGGGAGAAAAATGGTAGAAACCTTGCAGTGGGAAATTGAAGGTTTACATAGTCTCATTTCTGTGTTGGGCTACTCTGAACCACAGTACATAAAGCTACTGGGCTTCCTAGCATTTTGTAGGAACTTTGCATTTCAGTTGTTCATATCAAAGTGAGGTGACATTAAAATATTTGCAATTGTATTTCCAGTATTCCAAATTAGCTAATTCAGCTTTTGTTGTAGAAGAATATGCATAGGTGTGCTTAAGCAGCAGTCACGCTCTGTGTTATTACTAGATTATATTGTCTGTTGTAAATATGAACATGACATTATCTCACCAAAAGATGTTGCTGAATATTCTGCAGTATTTTCACATTTGTTTTGCTGGTGAACCATTCTATATGAATATTCTTTTTACGTGCTAGAAATGGTAGATAAATTCTGAAAATCACGCTTCAGTAATGAAATGACAAAACTAACAAAAAATAAGCTAAATCCAGGTTATCTGGTTGCTGCTGCATTTAATGCACTGTTGTGGTGCAAAGCTGTAAGGAGCAATGTGAAGCCATCTTGGTGTACTAAAGTCAGAACTTGGGTAGCAGAATCTAGTGCAGAACAGGTATTTGCTTTTTCCAGCTGCCAGGTGTTGGCTTGACTATTGCAGAAGTCTCAGTGTCTAAGGAATTGAGTCACATGTGAAATTTTAGCTTCAAAATAGATTGGTGTTTTTATTTTTAATTATCATACTTATGTATAGTAAATGTCCTGCTTTATTTTTTTAACAGTAAAGGACCTCCCTCTTCCCAGATTTGTTGTGTCAAAAAATGAACAAGAGTCAAGACACACAGCCTTGTATTCTTCAGATGCTGAAAACCCAGCTTCATATTCAGGTGTGATTCCTCCTCCTCCACCTGGCAGGATACAAGGCAAAAAAGGCTCTGTGAGCCATGATGCAGTTCAGCAGCGTACATCAACTGATCAACAGGTAAATTAACTTAAAAGATTAAATGGAATTCTTAATCACTACTTTGCTGTGTGGATGTCAGTTTGATAGGGCTTCTAAGCTAGGTTACTTTCAGTATAGTTTCTTGAAAAAAATATACTGACATATATTATACACAAAGACCATATCTGCCTCTGAAATACTTGCATGTAGAAGACATTTTTTTTATGAAGTCTTAAAATCTGTGTTTAAAATATTGGCAGTAATGGACGAAGAATTGAGACAGAAAAGAAATTCAATGTGTAAATTAGGATGGCAAATATATAGTTATAGTCATTATGGTATTAATAGCTCATTTATTAAATAGTTCCCATCAGTTTCCTGGTCATTGGAACAGTGGTACTGAGTGCCATGGAAGACTGAATTTCTAGTCCTTCAACATGCTCCAATATGTGTGAATCTGAAATAGTGCATTTAGAAAAATTCTGTAAATTTTCACCATTGCTTTTCTCTGCCTTACATTTTATTGTTCAGTGGTTTAACTGTTAAGGAGAGACAATGACAACCAGAAAAACAGACTGAAGTTTTCAAATAGCTTTTTCTTATGTTTTAATAATGAGAATCTGTTTACTTTTTTGTTCACTGGTTCTTTCATCTTCAGTGACAAGATGTCTGAATTAATGAAAACTGTAAGGACTAACAACTCTGTGCCTTCTCATGCGTAACTCCTTGGCTTTAGAGTCTTGATGCTTTTTTTCTGTGGGGAAATCCTTTCTGATTGTCTTCTCTACAAACAGGAGCTGAGTACAAATGCTGAATTTTGCTGGACATATGTATTGAATGACCTGTTTTCTTCCCCATGGCATGCTTTTTTTCTGGGCTTATTTTGTAAAGAATCGAGGAACTTGCAAATGCCCCATAGTCACTGTGGGAATCAAGAAATCACTCATAAACATTTATTAGTCTCTATCAAAATAGCCCAGACTGATCGAATATAAAGGAAAAGTAAATTAGTTGAGGAAATTCATAATCAGTGTTTGGCTGCCACTTCCTTTCTTCCAAAGGGAAGATGGGGAATATAATGATAAAAGAGCTAGTCTCAAGATAGCTTTTTGCTGTCTAGTTTTGTGTAGATGTGTTTGAGAGAGCTGCCAAGCCCTTTGCACATTGCAGATTTCCTACATCTGGTTGTGAGGTTTTAGTTGGCTTGAAACTATTTTATATGCTTCCATCATGATGTTGAGTTTATTCAGTGAACATTTGTAATTTGATACCAGGAATCTGTAGTGGCATAATATTAAAATAACAAAAAGAAAAATCTGGTGTTTGAGGTCTTCGAGTTCAGAATAAAGAAGCCACATATTCACAAAAGTGTATGTGCATCCCAATTTCATTTCTCTGTCTTGGCTGATAAAAACAACTTGGTATCTCTCTTTTACACAAGTCTGTCTGGGATCATCAGAATAATGAAACTCTGTATCTAAGTAATTTGAGAGATCTGGCCCAGAAAACAGACTTGGAAAAAATGTAACAGCACAGCGTTGAGTCCAGCAGTTTTAAGTTGTATTCATGGTCTAGAATGTCCGGGAAGTATTGTCTTATTTTGCACCCTGTTGTAAAACTGACCATTCTATGGCTGATGCTACATTTCTGACTGTACAATGGACCCATTCAAGCAGCCTTCTTGTCCCAGTCTAATACTTAGTGATTCAGATACCAGGCTGGAAATCAACTGAGAAGGGTGCTTGATCCCAGGTTTCTCACTTAACCATATAAATAGTCTAATTTGGTACAGCTTTTATCCATGTTTTCATGGAAATTGCTGATTTAGTTGTCTTCACCTGAAGATACCATTCAGATTTATAAAATCTAGGGAGAGTTTCAGATTCTGAATTCTCATGCCACCTTTTTGAGCGGTGAGTATTCAAAGAGATGAAGCCTGACAAGTAAATTACAATATGTCATCTTCCTAGGGATCACTTTTCTTTCTGGAGGAATATGTCAGTTAAGCTTGGATATTTCACCCATGGAGCTTATCATGTACTTGTTAGATAACTCCATTAGCAAATTTTGGATTTTGTTTTTTCTTAAACTTTTGTGGCTTTGAGAATGTAACCACTCTTGAAGCACTTGAAAATACTTTGATTTCTTAAAAATGCTATGGCTGAAATATTATTTATATGAAGTCATAAGGTCTTCATCTTTAAAAACTGGTTCATTTATATGCAGCTTTCCCTATTGGTTAGATTTGTCGTGCATAGTATATCATAATCACAAATAATTTTCACAGAAGAGTTTTACTCAGTACATTGTCTACGCAAATGTCCTAGCTAAAACTATTTATTTATCAATGCATTATTTCAGCAGTTCTCTCAATGAACTTGGAAGCAGGGAATCAAGAAATAGCAGTCAGGTTGTGTTTCCAAAGAGTAGCTACAAATGACTTTGTGGTAGCTTTTGTAGTTTATAAATATAGCACTGGGCAGAAGTTTTTGTCTTTTAATATTGTTAGATGACTGGAGTCATGCCCAGCTGTCATGGAAGCTGCAGAACTGATTTTAGGAGTCTAGCTGAGTAATGAAAGATGCTGTCACTCCCTGGATATCATGTTAACAGCACATTCTAGTGGAGATAAAACACTGGGTGAAAATATTTTTTTGTTCTTCTGACAGAATTTCTTATTTCTCTGAAATAGAGGCTAAGTAGATTTGAGCAGTTCTGCTGACAGTGTGACGTCTATACGAGCACTTTGGTGACATAGGTATGCTATGACAGTGTATATACATATCTGTACCTTGATGTTAGCCGCTATGTTACTAAAAGTGTTAGTGTACTGAAGACTTTCTTAGAAGAAGCAGCAATGTTGAAATTAGGAAGAATTTTGTGTCTTCTGAAAGTAGCTCACGAGTGACTAAATGTTCTCAATGTTGGAGACGTTTTGTGTTTTGCTGTTAAAGGCAAAAAAACCCCCAAACTTTTCTCAGTTTTGTTAACTATGATCTGATGTTGATCAGGTACTGCTTTAGGATACTTTTACTTCTTTTCCAGGAAAGGGGGCAAGCTTTCTAGCTTCAATAGATACTCAGACTTTAACATCTGGCAAACACATATCTGACAAATGCTTACATTTGCTATATCCAGGTGAAAATAAAAGGTGCAGCTGACAGTATTCCTCTGCCTATGGGTCCATTAAGCATATTACTGGCACTCCAGATCATATTGATTTAGTGCTATGTCAGTGCAGCCTTAGGAAGAGCAGCTCAAATTTGATACCTGTAACAGACAGAATTTGATCATTTCAATTCTTTCAACTGTATGAAAATTAGTTTGAGTTTATTTCAAGGTTTTGCCAGTAGTTCATTTCTGTGCACTTCTGTTTTGTAGATTGAACAGGTAATTTGAGATAAAACATACCTGGTATGAAATTGTTTACAAGCACAGAACTGGAAAAGATCTCATGTCATTTGCATCTAACCTGTTATTATTTTAAGAAGTTTTATTGGATGAATTTTTAAAAAGATCAGAGTTCTCTCTTGAAAACTGTGAAGCTTTTTATTCCACACTAGCTTTGTTGGGGAAAGCTATTCCAGGGCCTTAGTAGGAATATTCATGGGAATATGGTGGGAATTCCCACTTAGCTTAGCCTGTTAATTTAACAACTTGGTCATTAGTATTTGCTGTAGGGCACTACCAGTATTTACTGGAAAACTATTGCATTCCACTTTGGCTCTGTTTTTCTTGACAAAATAATCCATAGTCTCACTTTCATTTCATAAAGTAGTTACCACTAATCCTTAATCCTTCTCCATCTGTGGTCTAATTTGAATTCACGCTTATTGAAAATATTTTGCTACATTTGTGTGTCTTGTTCCAAGTGATATTTCACCAGTACTAATACCATTCTGTAGGGTTCTTTCCTGTTTTTGCTTGATATGTCTCACCTTATAGACTTTGGCAGCCGTGAATAAAGCAAGTCTGTCATACTTGAGGGGTCTGATATTTGACCTGTGCATCCAGTCTTCTCTTTATGGCCTTTGGTATTAACATTCCTTATACAAGAAAACCTGTATTTTGCATTTTAAAATTTGATAGTTGACTGCTTCTTATGTTCTGAAAGGGATCCATCTGTCTGCTGCCTTACATTTGTTGTCACAATTCATAAGCATGCTATGTAGTGTGCATAATCAGTTACCTAAATTATCAAATGAGGTTATTATCCAAATCAGTCATTCAAGAGCATTATTAGAAACTTCCCTTCAATCTTGTAATTCCCATTCTAATACAATCCAGCTTTGTCCCTTCTATAGCCAGTTTTTTTTATACCTTAGATCCTTGTATTCATTTCCACATTGTGTTGGAACTGTCTCGCATGACACCCTGCTGAGGTATGCTCAGCTTCAGGTTAAATGTAGTGCAGTTCCTTTGTTGAGGAAATCACAGAGATGCAGTATCATTTCTCATGTTGTGATTGATCCCTTTTTCATTTGTCTCTGGTTTAATGATTACTTTCCTCAATTGGCTGAACCACCTTGAAAATGTGTAGTGCTGCAAGTAGAAGTTCTCATTGAACCTTGGGCTGTTTTGTTCTTTGGTATGAAGGGCAGTTGATTACAAAAACCTGGGCTCTGCAATGCAATTGTCATCCCTACATAAATCTTTATTCACAATGGCTCTGCTAACTAACTCAAAAGCAGCCTGGGTGGTATCAGGACCTGGGTCACAACACCCTTAGAGCTACTCTTCAGATACCATGTCTGGCTTCATTGCCTCTAGAATTCTTCTTAGGAGGTTTTTTTCTGACCTGATGTGTGAGACCCACGAAAATTTATAATGTCATCTGTCTCATAAATGCTTATAAAAAGCCCTTTTAAGGCTGAGATCTCTCTGGACAGTATTGTCTCTTTAGCACGTTTTTGGGTTGCCTTATGCCAGTTTGACTTGTCTTCACGAAGGCTCTTCCTTTAGAGTCATATATCACCTTTTTCAATTAACATGCTCTTTTTAGTAAGTAATTGTCAGTTCAAAAATATCCAAGTTACAAGTATGTCAAGTCTCAGTTTTGTAATTCCAGTCTGACAGAAATAATGCTTTTTTGCAATGTTTTTAAATGTGAATTTTTATTTTTTTTTTAAAGTAATATGTACTACTTAATTTTTGCCTGGTAGCTATAACTTTATTATTTAATTAGTTATTGACAAAGATGTCCTCATATGTTTGATTTAATATGAAAACGTTAACCATTTATGTCAACATGCTTTTATTTAGATATTTTCTGGAATAATTTAAAGAGCTAAAATAAGCCTAACATAGTAAAAAACAGAATGGTGTAATTGCTTTGATTTTTATTGAGATTTGTCTGGAAGGAAAATGAAAGGTAGTGGTTTAAATGTTTAAGTATAATTGCATTGAAAATACTAAAAAAAATTATAAAAATAAGATTTTAGTAGTAGCTGATCTGATAAACATCTACTACAGTGTGCAGGTGCTGAGTAAAATTTTCAAAGTTTCAAAGAGATTAGGTGGGTAACTTCAAATGATTGAGCTACCAAGTAAGCTAAATAATGCAAACTGTTCTTACATGCTACACTTTGTACACTTAAACATATTAGGTTCTGTGTCCTAATTATCTTTAAAAAATCTGATTCTGGATGTTTCAGGCTTTGAAACTTAATTTCTTTTATAGTGATAGATCGGACAGGTGGAAGCAAACTTGCTGAGTTGTAACATGTTCATCAACTCTCAAAACACTTTATGTGAATGTGGCAGCTGAGGATCAGAGCTGGTTCTGATAAAACTACTCTGTCTCTGCTCACTAAAGTGTGAAGCTCTAAACAAAACTGAAGTGGAAACTGTAAAACAAGCCATGTTTTCTAAGTAAAATTGTTCGCTTTTCATCTAGTGTAAAGGCAGATGCATAGTAATAACCCGTATACAAGGGGTAAATGAACCTGTATGTAATTGCTGTTTCAGTAAATCTCTACTCATTGTGTTTTCCCATAACTGCTTTTGAATGGGAGTCAGTATCTCTACTGTCTTGCCTCCTCCCCAGCCTTATTTTGGCTTTCATCTTCCTTCTTTACACTTGCATCAATCCATCAGTATTTTGGCCAAGATATTTGATATATATGTATATATTTGTGTGTATAGATAAATATGTTTGAACAACTGAGGGTTTTAGCTCTCTTAAGATTCTAGTAATCTAGGTGAATGAATGCCATGAGTGGTATTTGTGAGTGATTAGGACTGCACAAGGGGAAGATGATGCCACAGTAATGCTGTCTAAATTTGGTTTAAACTGGTTTGGGAATGTGTGCCTTATACTGACAGTAAAACCAAAAATGTGGATTGTCCCCCTTCCAGAAGTTTTTTTGACATCAGATCTGGTGACATGCTTTTGCTGTTTAGTAATTTTGGAGTCTCTAAGCTCCAAATCAGTGGTGGGAAATCTGTGAATGTTCAGAATTCTGATAAAATGTTGTTTTGCACACTGAGAACAAAGTTGATTATTTCCTATGTTTGTGTATCTGATGATCTGATTACTGTTAGTACGTGCTTTACAGAATCACACGAACCACATGCAAAGATTTAGAAGAATTGGAGTTGGGGATCATATTTACAATTTCGTCCTGTGCCAGCAGCATAAGACCAGCTGTTAGGCAGAGGCTTACTGAAGAGTGGCAGGGCTGCTTCATGGTGACTGTGTGTCAGGTTTTAATGTTCACATGCAGTTACTGGAAATAGTGAGTAGTTTCCTCTAGGCAAACTCTTATACATTTGTCTTCCTCATTTTCTTCTGTGTCTTTATGGACCATAAGAGTACTGGATAAAATGAACAATATCTGTGTTCAAGCATAGCTTTCTCTACATTTACTCCATGATGCTTTGTCTAAAAATTGGAACATCCTTCAATGTTTGGTAAAAGGTGGCTTGTATAAAAGCCAATGAAAGAAGAAGCTTTTAATTCATTTAAGTGTCATGGTTTTCCTATCACCTGTTGCACAATGCTAAGCACAGTCATCATTCAACTTCAGTTCCATTTTCCAGCCTGCAAGTGGCCCTCCAGAAACCCTGACTCCTTCCCCTCTTGGCCCCATGTACCAGTGAGGATAAGAACATCCTGCCATTGAAAATAAATCTGTCAACTAAACGCAACAAGGGGAAATCTTCAGGCAAATTTCAGAAAGACATGGAGCTGCAACCAAAAAATAGTATCTTGAGTTGGAGGTACTGTGGAGGAGCAGTAACAGACTGTGCAGTCAGCTGATCCCTCAGTTCAAAGCTGAAGCGAATTAGTATTGCTCCCAGCCATTTTGTAAAACTCTTTGCAAATATCTATAAGCATGATCTAAATACTTGGAATGAAAAGTTTGAACTCTTGTGGCCTAGAAACTTAGCTGAGGAAATCTGACTTGATGATTAGAACTTCCAGGAAATACCTCATCTGCAGGATCAACCTAGGTGGCTTCACTTCACAAAGAATAGGAAAATCAGAGGACTGAAAAAAGGCAAATGTTTACATTAACACATTGTAAATTAACAGTCATTGTGGCTCTAAAGCTTTTTTTTTATATACCTTGCTTAGAGAAAATATACCTTGCTTAGAGAATATACCTTGCTTAGAGAAAAGCTTGTTAATGGCACTTTCTTTTTAAAAGAGACTTTAAGACTTTCATAGGTGTAATATTGTTTTAAAAGCTTAATGGTCTTTGAATATTAGGCAAAGTAAATCAGTTTGAGTAGTTTTGGGGAAGCCTACAATCAATCTGTCTGTTGGTACCTGATAGTATGTTAACACCTATGTAAAGTACCAAACTTTCTGGTACTGCTGAACAGAATTTGAGGTTTTTGGCTTTGTTATTACTTTTCAGGATATTTGGAGTTCAAGATTTACTTTATTTTACTTGTTTTCACTAATACAGTTCAGCTTAAACTGGGAGAACATGCAAACAAGAATTTCAAAAGATAAAGATATAGGGAAGAAATTACTTTCTACTACATTAATACTTCGTACAATATAAATTACTTTTCCTTTGTATTTTATTTGAAATGAAATAAAGTGGTAATCTGAATGTCCTATGAGAACTGATTCCATGTAGAAATTGCCCATGAGATTTTTGCCACCTCTTCAGGATGACTGTAGTACAGTATGCAATTAAAGAGAAGTATGAGCCTGAGCATCATGGCAACATTACCTTGTACAGCACAGAAGTTTATCCTGGCTGGCATCATTATTTTTTAAAAATTGCATCTATGTTTTTGCATACTAAAAAAACAAATGTCCTATTTGGTGGGTTTTTTTTTTTTCCACCAATCCTTTATTCTGGTTTGTTTTAAATGAATCATTTGATTAACATTTGGTATGATAATAAATTGCACAGTAAGTATTTATTTTGAGACCTGGTTTCAAATGTAACTTTTATCACAAGTGAAAGTGAGTCTTATAATCTAGTTTCCTTTGTAGCTAAGTCACTTAACTCAGCATTGCTGTTGTTTTAAGAATGCCAAGTTAAAAATATATTAGATTACACTGTTTGATGTAAATGTGTTCAGTCCTAGTTACACTGTTCCTGACTTCTCCTGTTCTCTCATTTTAATAAGTACTAAAATTTTCACTCTCTAAAATGAGAGTTTAACTGCAGTGATGGTTGTTTCTAGAAATAATGGTTTTAGATAGGCTTTTATGTATTTAGTTATGCAGTAAAAAACTTAAAAGATTGCTTTGTTTTATTAGGAGTCCACATCTCCAATTGTTTCACCACAGCAATCCCCACCAACCTCTCCACATACATGGAGGAAGCACAACCGCCATCCCAGCGGAGGGAATAATGAGCGACCTCTTGCTGGACCTGGGCCTTTTTGGGCTCCATTTAGTGAAGTACAACCAGGTATAAATGTCTTGTTCTGCTTCAGTGGTAACCCAAAGTTGTGGAATTCTTAAATAAGTGTAATAAATGAGTTTAGGGCAGTTTGTCTGGGTGTTTTCCAGTCCTGGAAATTTTCTTGCAGATGCAAGTATCTTTGTTGATAGCAGCACTGTAGAATCTGTGGTCTTGCGTATGGCAGATCCATTTGTTAGTGTCACATGGGAAATGCTAAGGGTCTTGAAGGGAGGGAGAGAGGGTTTAAATTTTCCAGTGGAAAGTTTTTAAAAACAAAACTGATAATCCTGTTGAAATTGTGCAGAAACTGTCAGTATACCTGAAAATGTGGGGACCTCAAGGGAAAGCAGCAGATAATATATTGTTTGCTTGAATTATATTTCTGGTAGATTAGCTGAATTGACAGAACAATTAATTTGATTTCTTTAAAGGTTATGTAAACAACTTTTTCTGCATTTCCAATCTGTTAAGGTAGAACCACTTGTTTCAGTGAAGCTTTTCATCCTTTAATATTCTTCATTTAATATGAAGACCTTCCCTGTTATTGTATCACTGTATTCAGATTTAAAAGCTGTCCCCCTTAATATGTCCTACTTGCAAAAATTCTATTTTCTTTTCTGATACCTGGTAGTCTTAATAAATTTAGGAACAATTGTAATTCAGGTTTTGATTTTGGTGGTAATGCTAAATAATATATTGCATTTTGTAAGCTGTAGTTTGAGATTGAACTGTGATTGTTTGGTTTATTTCAGTTATAGACCAATTTTGGAATATCATTACCTTTCAATAATTGTCATTCTGTAATTCTAACATCCATGGAGGAGCAGGGATTCTATTAAAATCGGTTTGATAAGAAAATAAAACTTCAGAAGTGTAGTGGGTTGTATGCAGAGGTTTACACGAGTGTCATGAATGCTGTTTGCTAGTAAGTCCCAGTCAATATACAATTTAAAAAAAAAAATTAGTCTGCTCATTACTTATATAATCCCTTCTAAGGGTTCAGTCCAAGCACTGTCAGCACTCAATTTCTCAACATTTTTTTCTCCTGTAGTTCAGTTGACTTGTGTTTCTCTAAAGCTGAAATACATGTCTGATTTCTAACTTGTGAAGCTTTTCTAACTTAAAAAGTCACGGACTCCAGGACCGTATGCAAACTGTTCCTAGCATTCAAGAGTTCAATATTTCTATCTTAAAAATAAAGTCGCAATACCATGTTAATATTTCAGTTTGGTAATGGTTTCCCTATGATGTTTAATGGGTAGATTTTTCAGAAGTTGTTTGAGCATATTTCTGAACTAGCTCAGTATTCCCTGATTTTTATATTCCATACTGGAAGATATTCGTAATTTATTATAAGGAATTTGAAGTTGCTATTATAGAAGGATTGTCTGTTCTGGCAATGCTAAAGATAAAAGTGGTTTTTCATATATTTAAGAAAAATTGTCAGCATAATTTACTGTGGATGAGCCTTTTGCACTGCAGATGATTAATTATTGCTTTGAATTTCAGCTATTGTAGGCAGTTCATAGTTTCCCCCCTACCTTGATCCTATATTTTAATGACAGTGTTTATAAAAAAATTATGTTTTCTTGACATTTAGATAGAATAAGATAGACAGTTGGTTAGTTTTCTTAAGATCAATACTCATCAATCAAGCTCATCTTGATTCCAGTGCAAGATGCTTTTGAGAAACCAGGTGAAGTGTTATAGTTTCAATAGGGCTGTGCCATTTCACTTGTGATCCAAGCAAAATGAGAACCCAGGTCTCTCTGCTTGCATTTCACTTTATTCTCAGACATTATTGCACATAATGAGGTTGTCAGCTGTAATCTTGGAACCTTAAGTGTGAAAATGCTTCTGGTGGATCAGATAATAAACAGCATGTTGCTTAAACCAGAAGGGCAAAAATAAAACCTAATTTTTTGTTTGAAAAAGATGTATTTAAACAGGAAGATTCTGACTTGCACATAGTAAACTTTGTATTGTATCCTCATACTCCCACCATGAAAAAAGTTAAACAGTGGATTGTGAACTCTGTTGAATTGGGCTGTAGAATAGTTATTAGATAATAACTCAATTGTTGGTTTTAAAAATCTTACACGTTGTCTTGCATTAGAAATCAAATGACTTGTAGCTGTAGTTATGAATTTCTTGGAAGAAAAGGAAGCAAACCTGTTCTCATCTCAACAGAGCAAAAGAATTTGGATTTCACAATTTTTTGTCACTGTGTTGTCCAGTAATTCAGTTAGGATAGTGTTAACACTTCATATGTATATCACTGGTTTCTGAGGCGCTGTCACACTAGCTCAATTTGCTTACAAATATGAAATGAGAAGCCCAAGGCTTGTTACCATCTCTCTTCAAGATTTTTTGTAAAGAGAGCCCCAAAGGATGCATTTATTTTACTTTACTATCAGGAATTAAAAGTCAGTGACAGACATCGATTACCTGTGTAGAATATTTATAGTCATCTCAGGTCTCATCCTGAAATGTCAGAGTCAGGTCTGTTAAAACCTTAGTCTCTCAAGTCTCTCAGGTGCCTTTGATTTAGCAATTTAAGATAAGGTCATGATTTTTTAATAGCTTTATGTCCTTGCTCTGGCTTGTATCTCCAGTGTGGAAAAGTCTTCACAGAATAATCCTGCGGATGACTGAACACCTTGTAGGAAACAGAATTGTATATGAGATAAGGGTTTCCTGTTCCTATAGTTACAAGAGAGCATAACCTAATAGACTATACCTTTTCATCTCATTTTGCACTACAGTCCAGCTGCTAGCACATTGTTGATGTTGACAAACTTGGGAGAAAGAACCCTTCCCTACTTCAAATGATAATTGAGTGGCATGTCAGAATGAAAAATATTTTTTATTACTTTATAGTCTGTTGGAACTGGAAGCAAAACTGAATATTTATGTTGGTAGTATCCAAATAATGATCTAAAACAAGTTTAAAAAATATGAGATCTTCTGTTCTGTCCTAGGATGTTTGTTAGCTTTCTGTGGCATGACATCAGTGTTTTGTGTTGATATCTGGATATTTATGAGAAATTGCTGCCCTAAGCCACCGTTCTTTATTTTTTCTTTGGGAGGGTTTTGTAGCAGTTTGAGAACACTTCGGGGACAGAAGTGGAACATGTCTACTGTGCTAACAGTTCTCTTGCATCTTCAGGGCCCTAAGAGATTTACTGGGCTTGCAGGGAAATGAATAGTCCTTTGTCCCCCAGTTAATGCTTCAATAACTGATGATAGTTGGCCTTGTTACTTCCTATGGAATAATCTTACCTTACCTGGGCATAAAAGCTCTCTAGCATTTTATCTTATTGTCAGAATTGTATTCAGCTTCTGGTTTTGTTTCACTACAGACTGATGATTAGGAAAGCTCTTAGTTTACAGAGTTAGTTGAAAACTTAGTTCTAATAAACCCGTATTAAGTAAAAGTTAATGTTAACTAGATAGAACATTTCTTACATTTCCATTTATATCTCAAAGTAAAGGGGATATTATTCCACAGGAAATGAGATGATTTTCCAAAAGTTATCAATGTGTTGGTAAGATACTCAAGCTAGAGAAAGATATAGAGCAGCTACAAGAATTTGTTAGGACTTTGTACTAAACAGAGAATTAGACTTCAGCTTGTTCAAATCTGATAATTTGTCCTAGGCCTGTTCTCCATCTAAAGTGGTGTTGCAGGTGATTTCACTGATGAATGTGCACAGATACGACAGAAGGTTTTCTTCACTGGGTTACAAATCATAAAATAAACATAGACCGATGACTTTGAATCTTCTCTGTGACAGTTTTCTTCCAATTTCTCTTCCACCTCTCTGTTTCCAGAGATTGGAAGAGAGGTTTTTTTGGTTTTGTAAAGTTGAGTTATTGACTGGTGGCAGTCCATGACTATGTGTGTAGATCCAGGTCTTTGTGGTTACTGGTAATCTTTCTCTAGTGTTCTCCAGCCATCCCATGCTGTGTCCTAAAACATTGCACTGGAGAGTAAATAACAAGAACAGTAAAGTAAGAATGTTCTTGCAGGTATTGGTTGAACAGGGGAGAAAGGAAACAGTTCTTGCAATACTTGTAAAGTATTCTGAAGGTATCAAAATTGGATGCTACTGGCATTTCCATTGCTGTTAAAGTACTGCTTTGGAGCAGATACTGTGCTCAGTGGGATGTGAATTGAATTGTACCAAGATCAGTTATTAGGAGAAGTGAAGGAGGAGTAAACATATATAAGGTTAATGGTAATAGTGTCAGTGTCTGAGAAGCAGAGAAGGAGAAAGTCAGTGTATCAAAAATAAAATTTGAGTGTCACATATCAAAAGGACTGATGGGAAGGTCTCATCTGCTTCTGACTGTTAGTCCTGATAGAGACAAAGGGGAAAGAGACTGAGCTTTTCTCTTGAGTTTCTTTCTGGTGTTTGAGAGTTAGGTGAACTACTGAAGAAAAACCTTGAAGCAAAGAAAGAATTGTCAGATGCCTTACCTTTATTCTCAGCACTTTCGGATAAAGGCACTAGAAGCTCCAGGCCACATCAGGAGCTTCCAAAAGTAGAGGATGAACTTTAGACAAAATGAGTAGTTAATAGTGCCTTTTCATCATATTAAAGCTAACTTAGAAAGAAAAAATCCTCCATAAAAAATAATTTGATTAAATTCTTCTCCTGCAAATACTGCTTTTTACTTTTGCAAAGATTGAATGTGTTCTCCACAATTAAGACTACTGTATGTAGTCACAGAGCAAAGATAAACTGGTTCTAAGCATTTTTCTTATTACTTTTTGCTTATGGAATGAAAGGGTAATTGCATTTTGCCAGGTATTAGATAGCAGTATTGTATACTAACAATTATACTGTCACTTAAGATGTACAGTATAGTGTCATAAAGCCTTCAAGAACCTGAAATTGTTGATCATCAGCTTGATAAATTGATTACTTCTATATGAATGCACTTGTCATAGCAGGTTTTTTTAGTCAGCATCATGACAAGACATTAATGGTTTTTATTTCTTGAAATTAAATCTTACTAGAAGGATTAAATTTATGATGTCTGTGTCCTATTTCTTGTTGTGTGGAGGGCTTACAGAAATTCATAAGAAGCTGACCGGTCTTTTAAAAGGAAATCTGTTTCTGCCTACAAGGCAAGATTCTAATCTAAGTATGACTTTATTTGGCATATTTCAAGAGAAAGTATTTAGTTGTGCAAGAAGAGTAGGTTGATCAGTTGCACAAGTGTTGTTTTGATTTAAGGAGTTCAGCATTTCTTTCAGGAATCGCGGAGTAGAAAGGAATCCTGGGATTCTAGACTTGTTCGAAATGGTTTGTTTTCTCTCTGATCTGAGTTCCTTAAATTTTGAATTTGCAACTGCAATTTTAAAGAATTTTGATGTTTTTGTATGTAGAGCAGCAGATGGCCATATTTTACTGCAGCTGCTTCGTGGTTATTTTAATATTAAGATATTGAACATTGGCAGTTCTTCAGAAGTAGATTATAGCAGGGCATTGGGTGAATCTTAAATGTTGTGTTCCAGATAGTTAATATATAGCAGATATAAGCATTCTGTATGGAATCTTTTTATTATTCTTGGCAAAGTTTTTAAGCAACTGAGTTAAGTTAGTGTAGAAATGATGTAGAGGAAAAAGATTCTGTGCCAAAAACCCAGATTCTTAAAAGGAATTTCCAAGACTTTGTTCTTTGAATGGCAAACTGAAATGCGAAAAAGAGGAGGGTTTAATGTTGATAATGAAGTCAAATGCTAATATCATATGCCACTTTTAAATAGTATTTGTCATACAAGTGTCGCTTATTTCAATTGAATGAAAATGTGGAGTGTTTATTAATTCATCCAAAACCCATTAAATGGGTAAAATCCAATTTACATTTTGCATGTGTTGCAATAAGCTCAGTCCTCAGTTCTGTCTTTTTAGTGCAGGTTGAAGCTAGAATAATGTAAAAATCTACAGGAGTGAATGCCAATAGGTGAACTCTGTCACCTTGGTGCACTTTGGTTTTCATTTTTCCCATTCGATAATATATCTCCCTGACAGGAGATAATTCCATATCCACAGTTCTTTCTCAGTTTACAAGGTTGTCTTTTGAAAAGGAAATGTTTCTTCTAATTTCAGGCTCATCTACTTCTAGTGATCCCATATGGTCTGGCCATTCACCACCACCCCATCAAGAAAATTGGGTCAGTTTTGCAGATACCCCACCAACCAGTGCTCTTTTAGCCATGCATCCTGCTTCTGTCCAGGTGTGACACTTTATTGGTATTTGATTTGCCTCATTCAAATTGGTGTTGCAATCCTTGGGGTTTTTTTTCTTTCGAAATTTTCATTGCAGATGTTTACTGTGTATCTGTGCTGTAGTCTTTTCAGTGCTGTTTGCCCAACAGATACTTGTTCTGTTGAGTTGCCTTAATTTGGAATGATTAAATGAAATCTACTAATTTTTAAAATGTCAACAATGTTTTATGACTTTAAAACATTTGTATTTAGCTTTTTATGCATATGTGCCATACTTTTTTTTTTCTGCTTACATACCTGCGGTCATTCCATATTGTATCAGTGTGCAAAAATACCCTGTCATTATCCTGGAGATGCCATCTGCTGATGGTTTCCTGCAGTTTTTAAACTACTGTGAATTTTAACTATGCTTTATATTTTGAAGGCAAAAAGTTGAGAATTCATAGAAGCATTTTAGGTAGATAATACTGAGGAAAAATATTTCATTTCAGGACCAGACAACAGTACGAACTGTAGCATCAGCTACAACAGCAAATGAAATTCGTAGGCAATCAAGTAGTTATGATGACCCCTGGAAAATAACTGATGAACAAAGGCAGTATTATGTTAATCAGTTTAAAACCATTCAGCCTGATCTAAATGGATTTATACCAGGTAAGTTATTCTTTACAAAATATAATTGTGGGTGCATCAATTCTGCTATGAAGACTTTGTTTTGTACTCAGGCTTGCATACTATTTTGAAGGAAATTCTGCATTTTGCTGATCATATTCTAATATGAAATATATGATCATATTCTAATATGATATATATGATCATATTCTAATATGATATCTAATATAATAGTTCAGTGTAATTCAAGGAAGACTAGAAACCAGTTTGCCTTTTCCCTTCCTTTAACCCTAGTGATTAGTGCCATTTTTCCCAGAACCTTTGCTAAATAACTTACCACCTTTACAGTAGGTCTGAGTCTTCTAATGATTTCACTTGCCTTAAATATTAAAAATGATTGTTGCAATTTTTTAGGATCTGCAGCTAAAGAATTTTTCACTAAGTCAAAACTACCTATTCTTGAACTTTCTCATATTTGGTAAGTGTGATGATTATTTAAAATAATTATTAATTATAAATGTTTAGAAGTATGGCAGCTGTCTGATAGACATTTAATAATTACTTACTAGAAAGTGTTAAGTAAAATTTCACTACTACACTAGTATGTTCAGTCCTGCTCATATTTATGCCAGTATTACTTTAGCGGGCTTTAATGGGTCTGGGCTGGTACTATTTACAAGGCACCTTGAGTAAATGTCAAACTCTTCAGAGTTAGAAGCAATTTATTTGATGCTTTCATTTTTTAAAATGCATTTAAATTTAAATAATTATTTATCTATATTTATTTATTCATTTATGTCTAAGTAAATTTAAATGAAATGTACACATTCACACTGACAAATTCAGCTTTGAGTTTGTGTAAATCTTCTATTTCATTGTATTCTGGAATTTGTACTGCATCATTGCATGCTGTCATAAAATGGTTTACCTTGTCAGGTGCTATCTTTCAGTGTAATGATCTCTGTTTCAGGTATTTTCCCATTTAAAATAAATCATGTTGCACTATAATTTCAGTAGTATACTTTGCCAAAAACCTCAGGCAAATAATTTTGTGTAGTACTCTCTTAAATGGGTTAAAAACTGTGAGAGATAAAAGTGACTTTAAATGATCTGTAAGCTGTTATTAATGAAGGCACATCATCTTGAAGAGTAAAGCATGTAGCGCTAATATGAAGTGTTTAGTAAGATAAAGTGAACAAGGAACTTTGCTCATCCAAGTAGCAAAATGGAAGCCTGTCTTTTGGAAATAAAATAACCTTTAGAAATTTTATTTATGCTAAGTTTTCCTTCATAGGGAACTGTCAGATTTTGATAAAGATGGTGCACTGACATTGGACGAGTTCTGTGCTGCATTTCATCTGGTAGTTGCTAGGAAGAATGGGTATGATTTGCCAGAAAAGTTACCTGAAAGTTTAATGCCCAAACTGATTGATTTGGAAGACTCAACGGGTAAGATATGGGTTCAACACAAATGTCACTATTTAAAAATTGCAGTCAAATTGTTACAGCAGATACTTGTTCTTATGAGCAGAAAGCATGCTCAAAGCTAATTTGAGCATGTACATATTTCTGTAGAGGTCAGTTATTTAGGAACAATAGACATACACTATTACATTTGGAAATACTGACTGTGTCCTTTAAAGGTTAAGGAAAACAAAATTGTCACAATATGGATTTTATTCATGACCAGCTATTGTATTTCAATTTCCCAATCCAGCTATATTTTAGACTTGCTTTCAAATGAGTATGCTTTCTGTTCACCCTCATTTGTGAAAATAACAGTTTCTAAGTATCAAAGGTACTTGAAAAATATTCCCAGATTCAATGCCAAGGGCAGGATAGGTATTTAAAAATGCAGGATCAGTACCACAGACCTTTTTTTTTATTTATTTTTAAGTTCACCTCCTGACTGGAAAGCAGGTTTATCCTTCATTGTGTTGGCACCTAGTTGTTCTGTGCATGGCCCTTTACCTTTTAGAACCCCCCAGAAAAAACCACTGCATGTATAAGTTCTGCTTGTTAATATGTGCCAAAAACTCAGTCCCATAACTGAAAAAGAAGCTACTGTTCCATGTTCAAGTCATGTTCAAAAACAGGATGTCTGTGGCCGTCTTATTTTTTCTATTTTAAAATAGATAAAGGAAACGGTATTTTAAAGCTGCTTTAGATGTCTTTGTAATGAGCAGTTTTTGCTTGGAAAGTCAAGTTACATTCTGAATGCATAGGTACTATGATTTGCTAGAATTTTATTTATTTTCACTAAATACTTCAAGGAGACTCTCTTCATACTGTGTTTGTAGGTTGTCAGAGACTTTAATTTCAAGACTATTGATGAGTTCTTAAACTAAATTGTGTTTAACTAAACTGTACTTCTTATTATCTCTGCTTTAGTAATGAACCCATTTTCTGTGGGAGTAGGTTGGCTCTTCAAAGAGCTGCTGCTGAAGTGTTTTCAGTATGAGTAAGCATTTTGCTGTGATGAAGACGTTTGTAAGAAATAGCTGCAGATAACAGGGATAATACCTAGCAAATATCTAAAACCTTCCCATTCTCTCAATTTTTGTGTTAAGGTGGTGATCAAGCAAAATCCTTGGTAGGAAGTGACATAACATTTATTTGTATAAATAGTTGTTACTAAAAAAAAAAAAAAAAAAACACAAAAAAACCCAAAAAACTCCACACCCAACAACTATATTTGTCTTGATCTTCTATTGACATGATTGGTAGTAGATTTCAACTAAGCTTGTCTGGAAACTTCATTTATGAGACACTAAACCAGAAAGTGTTATGTGTATGTTTATTGTTCTTATTTTACAGGCAAATTCGTTAATACAAAACTTCTGACTTATTTTCATGAGGTACAAAGTGGTCTTTAAATCTGAGGGAAAACGGCTTTTAAAAGTGTTTTCCTCTGGTATTAAAGGGAAGTTACCTTGTTCTAGCAAATGTTAAAAGGTTACCTTGCTATGTAAGCTGCATATGTCAGCAGCATTGGAAATAGCTCATCTTATCTATCATGTAACATGATTTATTGCTGAAACTTCTATGTTGAATAAAGTATTTTAGACTAAGTTATTGATGTGGCTATAGTTTCATGTTTAGTTACAACAGTCCAAATCTCCAGCATATATTTACTAATTTAAAAGTTAGTGATAGGTTTGTTTACTGGACATGATGAATTACAGGAGTTCATGTTAAGAACTGTAAATCAGCCTAGGAAGGTGAATCAGTTAAATTTTGGTAATAATTTTTCATTTTGGTTCCTGTAAAAGTTGTATTTCAAGAAAGCTTTCTTCCAAAATTGTCTTAGAAATAGAAACTATAAAGTATGACACTTTTTGAGTGCACTTTTTGCATGGGATAAAACTTTCTCAAAGAAAGAAATGGTTGATGGTCTGCTGATATGCCTCAGTATGAATAATGTACAGTCAAACTGTTGAAGAAGATAAATTGCTTGAATGCCTTTTAAACTAATATGCAAGATGGCAAATTTTATTTCAAAAGCATTAACAGTGCCATTATTAGTCCTGTTCTTTTTTACATTTTCCCATTAATCTTCTGCACTTCTCCTCTGCACTTGAAAAGTGCTGCTTTTTTCCATTTTGACTTCTGAACTAGCAACCAGCAGGAGGAAGAATAACAGAGGGCTCCTTGCACCCTCTGGCTGGACAGGAAAGGAAGAAGTCTTGTGAGCTTCTCTGTCAGCCCCTCCCTCATCAGCCCCTGTGAATCCTGTGTGTGACCAGCTGCAGGTGTTCCAGACCTGTTTGAAATATGGTCTTGCTTTCCATCTGGTTTCATAAGTAGAGATACATATTTCTTTCACATGGCACAGACTTACTGTATAATTAAGCATTTGTATAGTTGGTCATTTTTCTAGTACAGCAGTACATCTCTACAGAATTGTAATTCCTTCAAACTCAATTTTATCTCAGTTAGTAAAAGCTACCAACCTTTACAAAAAAAAGTTGAAAAGCAAATTTTGCTTTTCTGTGAATTTTTGTTTGGATTGGTGCCACAATGCCATTTCTTTCTAAGAAAGAATCTGCCATGCCTTATGTCTTACACAATTACTTTACCCTTAAAATTTTCCATAGAATGTCATATGCATGTTTCATGTAGGTATTTGCAGAATTCTTTGAGTTACAGGTAGCTATGAAGTCTATCCACAGTAATTTTCAGCCTTATCTTTTGACTTTGTGTTTAACACTGGAAGTTAGTTCAGTTATTTAGAATACTATCAGTGAAATGAGAATTTTGAGTTTTTTTTACTTAGTAGAAATTTTTTATTCTTATTACACTTCAGAGCAATTAACATACATATATATTTCCAAAACATTGCCACTGGCATATTTTGGACTTAGTATATTATTTTGTTTACAATGACCACAGCATGTCAGCTTGACTACTTGGTGACTTTGACACCTCAATGTAACCTATTTTTATTGCTTTCCCTAAAGGAAAACAGTTCAAGATGCTAGATGTTGGACATAATTTTGGAAACATTATGGAAACAGCCTCATGTCTGGCTATTTAAAGGAAGTTTATATGACTTTTGAAACTCTGATGAGTTACTGGTTTCTGTATGTGTTTTTTTTTTCATTTTAGTACTATCTCAGTTGCCCCTGACCTCAAGGTGGCACAATTAATTTCTTTCTGGACTTCAGTGTTTTGCTTATGCCTTTTGCTGTCCCTGGCAGCTCTTTGGAGACAATAATGGGTTGTTACTTTTCAGAAGTATTGGTGGTCACCACTGACTACTCAAGTATTCAAGTGTTCTCAGTTCAGTCTGACATTGGATTTGTTACTAGCTTCTTCTGAATGAAAATTAGCAGGCAGAATATTGACTTGTCTTGGCAGAAGAGAAGGCTGAAGAGTTCAGCTCTTTAGGAGCCCAGTCTGTTTTATAATTTTTATAAATTTTTATAAATTTTGAATAAGTTTTGGTGCAACATAGACTTGTGGCAGTCATCTTCAATCAATCATATATCCATGAAGGAGTCTCTCTTAATAATAATTTAATTATTTTTTTTTGTTTGTTTTTTGTTTGTGGGGTCTTTTTTTGTTTTTTGGGGTTTTGTGGGGCGTTTTTGTCTTGTTTAGTATTTTGTCTTGTTCAGAGTTTTAATTCTGTGGATTGCTGACATTATGGTAATATGTCTAGCTACTTATCAGTCATTTTTTCAACTGTTGCTGTTACTTATATACTGTACAGTTGTAATCTGAACTTTCAGGTTTTTTGAGGCTCTTCATGCCTTGATTTAGCTTGAATTGTGATCAGATTTACTTCAAAAGAAAACTCAACAGTGCCAAAGGGACAGTGTCAGTGTGCCAGCTATTAAACTTACTCAATTTACAAAATGTGAATGGAAACACCACTCTTTTAGTAAGGAAGCTTGAAACTAATATTCTTTGGGGACTAATCTAAGAGAATAGTTTTCTTAATCTGTTGTCATATTTTTTTGTGTTTGCACTGAAATACTGGTTTTGCTCTGACCTTACTGGTGTGAAGTTATTTTCTCATGCTGTAAGAAAAACTGTTTAATTCTTTATGTAATCAAAATCTTAAAAAGCTACTTAAAGGCTCAGTACCTGGGAGGATAGGATGGTACAGAGTAATCTTCAAAGTCTGATTTTCAGAAACATCCTTAAAACAAGAGTAGTACCTGATAAACAGTATATTTAACTTAATGACAGTTCTTGGGTTTTTTGGGTTTGTCTGCTGCTAAGTATTTACTTGAAAAAGATGAAAAGGTACTTTGCACTTTCCATGAGATGTGAGCAACTCTTCTAAAAATAAACTGAATTTATGATTTTTGTTCATAGTGATTCCTGTCGTTTCAGAAGTTGGGGAACAGACTGGTGAGGTAGGTTACTCTGGCTCTCCAGCAGAAGCACCTCCAAGCAAGTCTCCATCAATGCCATCCCTAAACCAGACCTGGCCAGAATTGAATCAGAGTAGTGAGGTTAGCGCTTTTATATTAGAATTATTTCACTTCCATTCAATAAGTAAATTGTGTATGCATCCATAATTTGTCATAAGTGAATTGCTGATCATGAAACAGCAGGATAACAGACACAAGAAGGTTCTGTGTTAAAATACAAAAAAAAATAAAAAATAAAAGTTTTCATTCTGGTTTTTCTATTTCATTGTGAGATACTATTGAAAATATTGTCATTAATGGTAATTAAGCTTTATATTAATCACAAAATTTATCTCATAGCATGTTTTGGAAAAGTTGAATTAATTCCTGATTTTTTTCATTTAGGGTATGTTTTTGGTTGGTGTTTTTTGTTATTTCTGAAGACCTTTTTTAGTAGACGCTTTTGCTAAACTACAGAATAAGTTTCTGACAGATCTGGACACTGAGACTTATTTCTGGAGGTGATTTTAGCATGAAATATCACATAGAGAAGTCATGACCCTGTTGCAGAAGCAGGGACTCAGAGCTAATTTGAAGCCAGCCATTGGCTAAAATGATTTAAATCTTAAATTTTTACTGTTATGTACTTCTGCCTCATCATCCTTAAGCACATGTATTTGCTATATAAACAGTCTTCTGTGGTAGAGCTGTATTTTGTCAGAATTTGAAAGTGAAGTTAGTGAGCATTATTTTTATATTACTTTTTTCCAATAAATATCCTTTGCTTGAGAAGTCTGTAATGGATTGATTCCTAGATTTTGCTGGTTGTTCTGTTTTAACATTTTTGTCTCTAACTTAAGAATAAACAAATGTTTCAAGACCTACTTCAGATTCACAAATGAATTTCTGACTGCAGCCATATGCAAAGATGATGTAGGCTTGCTTTTCATTTTGAGAGGGGGAAAAAAGGGAAGAAAGAATGAAATTATTTTTGGAAAACTATTTTTGATTATCTGTGACTCAATAACAATTGAAAACTTGTTTTTAACATGTAGGATAGTTCTGTCAGTAGCTGAGTATTGCCTTCAATTAAAGGAGCTTTCTGTGGCTCTTTTTCTTTCTTCATGAGACTTCTCAGTGAATAGAAAATTGATCATAAAAGATTTAGACAAACCAAGGAAAGTCAGCATGAAGCAGAAAATAAGCACAATTTTAGGATTAAAGTTAGGAGCAGAGGAAACTTCATTTCTCAGGAGGGAAGGACTTTATAAAGTCTGCTGTTCCTTGTATGGGTAAATGCTAGCCTCATAGTCACATCCTTACAAAATTTTAAAATGCTGGAAATTATTTAGTGATTCTTAGTTGTTCTGTTTGACAGAGTGACTCAGTGTTGGTAGGAAGTTATGTTTTAAGGGGGAGTTGGAGCAGATATTCATTCAGTTGTTGATAAAAAGACGTAAATGTCTGCATCTGTATCAAAAATTTGCACAGACACATTCCATTGTGTTTGCAATAAAGATTTAATAAGCTAATCATTTGGTAACCTGCATCATAATTGAACAGCTTCCTTCAGTGTCTAATGCAACTCAAACCAATTGAATAAGGTGATTTCACTAGTGGAGCAAAGTGAATTACAGTTCTGTCAGCCAGAATCTTGATTTATGAAACTGACTATCTATTCACATAAAGTGGTATTTTCTTTTTGAAAAATCTTAAGAGATTTGGAAAAGTTCACACAGAGTAGCTATACTACTGGATACTAACTATACTAAAATAAGAGTTGAACTAAATATTTAGTTTTTGAACTAAATTTTTAGTTTTTTGTTTTGTGTTTAATACAAAGGAATTTCTGATTTTTCAGATGTGTTGCTGTGCATGTTTCTTTCTTCTCAGCACTCTTTTCAGCATGAGTCAGGTCAAAGTCCTCAAGGTTTTAATTCCATGAAAAAATTTCTGGTATTGCTGCAGGCACCAGTCTAATTGTTTCCTCTTTCAGCCTCTTATAAGTGTCACCAGCAAATGAATTGCTTGTAGAAGCTCTGCATCTTTATATTATCTGTCATTCCAGACAGTCTCATCCTGTTAGTCTCAAAGCAGATGGTTACTCTGTTCTTTCTAGCTTATGGTTGATTTATAGAATGCAGTTGCCAGGCCCAGTTACTGAAGGCTCCCAAGTATAGACCAAGGCATCAGTTTAAAACTTCAGAATAAAGAGCACCATGAAAATCTTCCTAACTTAGGATATATGACATGGCTTCATTCTCATCTCTTCACTCATCACTTCTTTCTTGCTTCAGATGTCTCTTCCATCCAAGTCTCAAGGCTGAGCATTTAGTTTTCAAAACTTAAAATAATAGAGAAGCCAGTAGGCTTTTCAAATCTTTTCTTGAAAACTGTCTAATGTCTTGCTGTAGTCATAGTAGCTTTAACACAGATATGGAGATTTGCTTTTAAATTCACAACTGTTACACCTTGTTTCAAAGGTCTTGGCGTTCTATTCCTAATGGTTCAGGTTGCTGTGAGTTTTAGTTTCAAGTAATTAAACTTTTGAGAGTAATTTTAAAACATTTTTGCAATTCTACAAGACAAATACTTCAGCTTTAGCTAGCATGAGTTTTACCCTGTCCATGCTTTTAAATTTTGCAGAGTTTGAGATGCAGTCCAGTAGATTCCTAATATATTTAGCTTTCTGTTAGCTGGGGAATTAGCAGTAGCAGGCTTATGGTAGTATTTCAGGCTGGAGCACAACAGCATATTTGCTAGAGCAGTCAGGAGATGTTAGGGTTTATCTGTCTTGTCTCTAGCTAGGGAGCCCAAGGACAAGTAATAAAGGTACCTGCAGTTTGGCTTCAGAGCAGGGCAGTAAGATAGATTAAGCATCCATCTGTAACAAATAATATTTTTCCATTTATCTTAACTATAAGTGCTGTGTGCCCGATGGAATTTTTTGAAAAATTAACAATATTTCTGTAATCAAATGGTCTGTTTGCCAGTGTTAATAGTAACTGGGAAGCCACTGGCCAAATCAAGTTTAAAAGGGTAGTGGCAGACCTAAATTAAATGTTTATATGTTTCATGAAAATGTGACTCTGCAAATACAGGAGGCCAAATCAGGAGAAATTCTCTGGCTGAATTTGGCAGTTCAGTTTCTGACTTAGTCAAAACTGGCTCACTAACAGGTTTGTATAGCTCCAAACTGCTTGCAATGCTGCCTCTTCATGAAGGGGTGGAGTAACTTACAAACTGTTTAATACAGGGAGTGTTAAACAGAGCAGTTGGGAATCCATACTAAAAAGGTTCTGTTAGATTCTGTCCATAAAGTGGGTAATTTTCTATGTTAAAAACAAATACAAACAAACAAAATCCTTAAACCAACAGAAAACCACAACAAAAAACAACCAGAAAAAGTGCCCACCCCCATATGAATAAAATTCCATAATGTTTGCAAGGCTCTTTCTCTACAAGAAGTTTTACCACACATGATGGCAATTACAAATTTAGTTAATATTTTTCTGAATTTCATTTCATCTGATTGTAAACAGTTATATATGGATTTCTGTAAGCAGTTACTGAAGTTACTGAAATAACTGTTTTAGACTTGGTTCACACACAGGCTGTTCACTGAATATAGTTTGGTGTAGGGGAGAACACGAGATTAGGTTGCCCAATACCACATGTCTTATGTCTTCTGAGATCCTTTTGATTGATTTAGCTACAGACATGGGACAAGAATATCACACACAATATTCTGAGTTGGAGAGGACCCATAAGGGCCATAGAGTCCAACACCCAAGTTGTTTCCACAACTGTAACAAACATAATTTTTTGTCATATTCTGATCACTAAAAATTTTGTATTTTTAATTTTTGAAACTTGTATTTGTAGTGTTTGAATCTTGCTTAATATTTACTTGTTATTTTACCAAAATATAACAAGTTTGTCATTCTTGTTGTGATTTTTTTATCTGGTTTCTGGATCACAGACCAATTTTATGTACTGTGATGCTTTATTGATCCAGTTGTGGCTGTAACTTGAATCAGTTTACATGAGGATTCTTGACAGCCATGTATTAATACAGCAAGCCCATATCTTCTGAAATTGTTCAGAGATTGACTTATTTGCTTTTAGCAATCAACAGTATGTTTGAATTTAATTCTTTGCCTTGTCAGTGATTTAGACTTTGGAAAATGCTCTTTTACAGTGTAGAATCACTTCTCAGGGGTTGCACTGGCAAGCTAAAGTGGTGTGATTGGAGTTCTCTGCTCAATGTTCATTGGCCTGGGATTTTGTAAGAAAATGAACATTTACTAAATAGATTTGAAACTTGGCAGCTACAAAGCTGAGTAACCTTTCTGTGGGCTTTATGACTACAAATGCACCCAACATGTCTCTGATTTTTATCTTTAAATTGTATGAATGGCTTAACCAGTTCTTTTACTTGTATGATGTTCATAGGCAGGCATGAACTCTGAAGGTACTTTTCCGGTTGCCTGTGCACCTGCATCTTCATTATAAAATGTGAATAAAAAGATTGACAGATAACAAACTTGGTTCCACAACAGTCTCAGACTGAAATAGAAATACTTAATGTATATTAGTGTGCTTCCCAAGTGAAGTACTCTCCTGTGCAAATATAGTTCTTTCCAGTGCAACCTCTGAACTACTATGCTAAATCTCCTCAGTGATCTTTTACTCCCATCTTCCTCATCATGCTGACTTCTCTCCTCTGTCTGTTCAGCAGTGGGAGACATTTAGCGAACGCTCTTCAAGCTCACAAACTCTGACCCAATTTGATTCTAACATTGCACCAGCTGATCCTGTAAGTCAATCACTTAGCTTGCTTGTTTGAAATTAATTTTATTAACACTGAATTTCCATTCATTGTATTTAGCTATTATGCATGATTCCATGGACTGCTTTTTGGGGAATGGTGGCAAATAGCTTGTTTGCTTATTTTCAGAATATAAATTTTCTAGTACTGCTCATGTTTAATCTCTGATTGCAAAGAATGCTTTTTCCTGTTGATTTTGACCTAATACAACACTTCTGTCAAAATCTGTCTCATACAAAGAACTTAAACATAATGTGTTTTTTTGAAAAAATGTGTAAGTTGATGCAAGGGCCACTCCCTATGATAAACAAGCTCTGACAAACAAGTTCTGTTGTAGACTTTGTCTTCGGTGTTTTGGGTTTTTTGAGTTGCAGAGCCTGATTTGCACGGAAACAGTGCCAGCTTCTGTGAAAGAAAGCTACTAGGCTTCAATGGGTGTGGTATTTCATATTCCAAATGTTTTTACCAAGTTACTTATTAATAAGACTTTTAGTATCTTTCCAGCTAAACCTGTGGTGTTCTAAGGCTTTACTCAGTGAGGAGTGCTCTGAAGGATTATGTAGTTAAATATCTTGCCAAGTTTGGGAGCCAGAAATACACTACAGTGTTTCAGGTTCTGCTGGTTTTAAGCTTTACAGCATGTGACATTAAAGCAGTTCTGAAAGGCATTATAAATGCAGTATTTAGCTGCTGCTTTCATCCTGCTTTTTTTACAGAATTAATTAGTGCCAAGTGTCCATTTTAATTTAATTAATTACAGTGTCAGTGTCCATTTGATTGTGTAACAAAATATAATAGGTGCACATAATACACATTTAACTGCTTTTAGTATTACATCTGTCATTTCTGAAAAAATAGAATACATAAATATACATAAATTTTCAATACATCAGCACTCCAGTCTCAAATTTAACACTAATTTTCATGTAGAAATAGTATTTCTAGATGCTGAAAGCTAGAATTCAAACTGCACTGTTCCCTATGCTCAGAATTAACCTTTAATAAACCTTCAAAACAAGTGAAAATGTCCTACTTAAAGCAAAACCCACCCCTCTTTCATCTGAGATTGTTTTGGTTTTAAATATACTGGTATTTTAAGTTTTAATGAGGTAAACATGATGTAAATTAGTTTATAATTGTTACTTGTGTATAATTGCGTGACAGTAAGGAGCTATCACTGTCTTTTTTCTGCAATAAGACAGTAATTTATTTTTACATAATTAGCAGATGACAGAAATCTGAGGTTTGAATTTATTCATCTGCTGATAAACTAAAAAGTAGAGCAGTGATCGTATATGAAATATAGAGTATATGTTTGTGTGTATGTATAAGGAGAAATTCACTAGGAACACAAAATTTTTAAGGCTGATCAAATTCTTGAGTCGTTTTCTTTAAATGCTTATGCTTTAGAAAAGTATGGTGAGAAACTTTGATACTTGCTAAGGTAACAGACTTTGGGGTTAGAGTCTTTGTTTTCCATATTAGAATAAGAACAAATGATGACAAAGTTTCAGTTAGCTGAAGGCAGACTTTTTGTTTGAGCAGTTTCAGTAGTGATGTATAGAAATGATTTATGGAACAACTGGTTCCCCAGAGGAGAGAAAATCAGCTTTATTGAGCAGTTGCTAATAACTATCTAAAGAGTAAATTCACAGACCTGATCTTTGCTAGTTGGAAAAGCAGCTGCTTTGGAGGTAAAATGTAACTGGAAAGAGTAAAATGGTACATCTATCCCTTAGTATGGGAGTATAATATGCCTTTTGTAAGTCAAAGTTGGTAATGTCTTGTTTTATGTAAAATTAGGTTGATGATGTAAATTAATGCATTATATAAAATCCATTTAACTATTTGAGGCGTAACTTCTGTACAGCTGTACATTAGAGTACTGAAGGTAGAGGTCTGAAGCAGCCACAGTTCAAGTGATCTTTGCATGATAATCTCATTACAGAGGGAAGAAAAAGCAGTATATTTTAAAGTGGTAACAATTCCTAAAAGCTTCCTGCAATAAGAATGTTTGAGCCAGGACTAGTAAGTGGTTTTGCTTGCAACAAGGGTAGTGCAAGTCATTGAAATAGTTTCAGAAAGTACCAATATATTACATCTAGTGAAATTGATTTACTTGAGTAGTCAGAACAGATTAAATTTGTTGATATGAAGGTAGTTTTGAAACTTCTTGTTATTTCTAGGATAGAACATAATATAATCTGAAGTGTTCTTGTGCTGTCATTGGCTCACCCATTCGTATATTCTGAATATGGATGACAGTAAAAAATCTCAGGCAGCCATGTCCATATTTTTAGGCTGGTTCTGAGTTTTGAGATTATTTTTTAAGCTGTCTGCAGTCAGTCTCCAAACCAAAGGGAAAGGATTGTCTATAAAGTACTTTAAATGGAGCCCCTTGTCTGAACAACTAATGCCTAAGCACAAGGCCAATGTCTGTCTAGAGTTATATTCCATAAGGCTTATTATACTGAAGCATAGAAGATTTTTGTTATTTTAAAGACTCCAGAAAATATATGAAATTACTACAAAGTACCTATTTCGTTGAGCATTACTTATACTATTTAGAGAGGCTGGTTATTTTTGAGGCATTATAAATAAAGCTAAGGAGTCGGGGTTTAAATTGTAATTATTTTTTTTTTTTTTTTTGAGATGTGCTCAAAGGACCATATGTCTGATACGCCAGAAATGGTGGAAAGCTGGTAAAAGTCAGGTCTTTCTTGCAGTTATCTATAGAAACATATTCTATTGCCCTTTTAAGTAGCTAAGTTAACATTACAGAGACTACAGCTTAGAGAACTTTGGTTTTTTGGGTATATTCAATTCCCTGGCACTGTGCAAATAAACTAAATCTACAAAATTTTGTTTAGAATCAACATTACACATAGTGTCAGAGACTCTTTTAGGAGTGATTTAAACTGGGTTAACATAACTGTGATCTCTTCCACAGGACACTGCAATTGTGCACCCAGTTCCTATAAGAATGACTCCAAGCAAAATCCACATGCAGGAAATGGAGCTTAAAAGAACTGGAAGTGGTAGGATATTTTCTCTTGCTAATTTGGAAAGTTTCATACAGTTAGAGTTGGCCTTAGTTTCTTGAACATACTTTTTTTCCTTCACCAAGGATGAATAAATGTGGAGTTGTAACGAGCATCATTACTGAGTTAAGAATTGCTGTTCAGATAAGTGCAGAGCTTGAATTGGCCATTTGCTATAGTGAGGATTTTACCATCTCTAGCAGAATGGTTCTTGGAGAGTAGTTCTGGAGCATCTTGGTAAAGATTGGATTTGGGCCTGCAAGTGAATGTCTGGATTTCCTTGTTAAACACTGAAGGAAACTGAACATGGAGGTCATAACCTGCATTCATAAAGCTTGTTCTTCTGTGGTCAGAAATACTGCATTTATTATTTTAAAATTTGAAAGCATTTGGGAATATTGGCAGGTTTTTTTTTTAATACTGTGGTCAATAATAAGTAAGGTGGTTTGATAAATTTTCTTAAAGGAATAGAGGGGTCTTAGTTTTCAGTGTCAGTGTTTCCTAAAATCATGGAACTCATGCAGAGTCTTCAGCATAGGATAATAAATAGTATTGACAACATATTTCTTTTAAAATTTCTTTGGCCTTATAAATAGCTGAAAATTCACAGCTCTTAATGCTGAAAAACTGGTGTTTTATATTGTAATAGTGTTACTTCTGAGTTAAAATACACCAATTTTAGTATTGACTGCAGCAGTTAGGTAAGGGCAGAAAACCAATGTAAAGTGCCAGAAATAAAGGCTAGTTTGAATAAGTTCATTTATCTAGATTTGTTTCTCCATCTAGATCATGCTAACCCTACTAGTCCACTACTTGTGAAACCATCAGATCTCCCAGAAGAAAATAAAATGGGTTCATCTGTAAAATTTACATCTGGAAATACAGTTAGTAAGTATCAAAGTGCTTTCTGGTATCATTTCTTACATTACACAAAATGTAGATCTGATATATCCCTCAGTGAATGAAAACTGGCTGGATAGTAGGAGCTCTTAAATGAGACAAACTTGTCCTAAGAACAGAAACATCTCTGATACAAAGTATGTATTAGAAACAGTAATTAATAAAGTTCTACTGATGTCACTGAAATTGTTATCCTACCCAATGTGCTCAAGAAAGTTCATTTTTGTCAGCTCTTTTCCATCTTCCTCTTTTCTCTTTGAATCCTAGAATGAAAAATTCAGTGTACATAAAGTGGAATTCACTAAGTAGCATTTGATTGATCTTCCTCAGAACCATGTAACGTATTTCTGAAGAGTGAAAATGTGTTGACCACAAAATTTCCAGGCAATTCTCATCTGGTTTAACTACAAAGAAAATGCAACAGACTCCATTTTTAGTGGAACAGCTCTTCAACTGTTTATTTCCTTCTAATAGCCTTTTCAATTTCCAATATGCCCTGTGTCCAAAGCATATTGCATTTTTTAAAATTTGATTTGATTAGTCCACTTCTCTAATATTGAGAGAGGTCCAACATTATATGTAGGCTGAATGAATCTCTGGAGTATTTCTGAGAGTCTCTTTTTGTTTTCTTCAAGTTGTTAAGTTTTCTTCAGTAAAAATAAAATTTCAAGAACTCACTATTTTAAATCCTTCGTAATATTAAGACCAGAAGTATTTTGACTGGTTTGTAATACAGGAGGAATTCAGAAAGTACCATCTTGCAATGTGTTTTGCTTTTCTCATGAACTCTGTTTCGGTGGTACTCTTCATTCTGACCAATGTCCTGACCATGTCTGAGTTTTACTTTTTAAGTAGAGTTCTGTTTTTACTAAGAAGTTTTCTGATGCAAAAGAAAGAATGAGCAGAGATTTTTTAATGTAGAACTACTACTGTGTGCAGGATCTAAGTTCAAGAGCCTTTTGGTGCTCCCTTTTCCTTATCTGAGTGTAGCTTTATCTTTGATAAAGTGTTTTTCCCTCAGATGAAGAAGATAGTGAAATAAAACAAATCACATTGCAGTGTAAGATACAAGCACTGTGTAGTACCTGCAGTGTTAAGGAGAAAAGGTATAAAAAATGTAAAAGGTTAAGAATGTGCCTTGCTGATCAGGAAAGTCATCTCTGCAGGATTTTTATTTCTGAGATCTGCTTGATGTGTCTTACCACTTTTGAAAACTCCAGTGTCCTAGGTGGTTAAAGTAATCCTTTGAAAGCAGGTAATTCAGAAGAATCTTGGTGGTTTTGAGTAGAATTTTCCTCTTCTCTGGTAACAAATCATCTGAGTTCCTTTGCTCCAGTGACTTCCACCTTGAACTTTGATTTACCTGGTGCTCTAGAATAATCCCTTGTGATAAATTATTCTGAGGTCAAATTTTCTATACATTTATTCCATATAAATCTTGTGATTTTTGTGAGGCTCCTCATTTCTGGGAAAGAAACCCTCAAGCTTTGCAGTTTTTAAGGGTAAGAGTGTCCTTAAGAATCTGTCTATGATGCTTTAATAGCATCTTTCATTTCTGTAGGTTTCCTTAATCAAATGCTGAAAGTTTTAAAAAAGATTCAGTCTAAAACAAGGTTTACCATCAGCCTCAGTGGTACAGAAGTTACAATAAGCAACAAAGTGACTTGGATGTCCCTCACGCTTCACAAGATTGTTGAAGTGATAGAATGTCAGGTGTTTAAAAATTATTGTTTATAAAACTTAAGTTTTGTATTTTAAATACAACATTACTGTCATTGTTTATTCTTCAGTTTATAGTAACCAACAACTGATAGTGTTGGCTGAGTGAAGTTGGTTTGTATTAAATCCCTCAATTATTCAGACTCGATGATTTTGAACCCTAACCAGATTATACCTTACAGGGAAGCAATACATGGACATTCTTTTTTTTTAACAAAAGAAATTGGATAGTTGAAAATATTTGTTACTTGTCTGTTAGAGCATGCTAATGATGCAAAGCAATATGAAACAGTACTTTCTTTTCCCAGCAGATGGTTACAGCAGTTCGGACTCTTACACTTCAGATCCAGAGCAAATCGGAAATGCTGTAACACGGCAACGGTCAGTAGAGTAGCAACTGAAAAAACACAAGTAAAAGGTGTTTAAAGAAGCCTATTCTCAGCTCCTGGCTATTTGACAACTAGCTTATAAAATGGTGGCAAAATAGATTCCTAGCTTTAACACTCAGGAATCCGGAAGCAGTCTGTTTTCTAATGCATTTACAATGTGTTTTGCTTTTGTTAGTGTGCAAAGTGAAAATTAAAAAAAGAAAGCTGTCTAAAAATTTGAGATTGGTCAGTCAAGTGTTCCATGTGAAGCTCCATGTTCAGTTGGAATCTTAATACCTTCCCCTTAAACACAAGGGAATGTAAGCACATGAGACCAGGCTGTTACTTGAAGGCAATTTTTTGTATTTTTAAAAATACCCATTAGGCATAATTGGAGAAGAACCTTATGACACCATAGCCTAAAAGAAGAATTAAACACAAATTAGCAATGCCATGGCAGTAATGCAATCTCTTTTAATAGTGGACTTACATAGAATAAAGGGCAGTCATAGGCCCAGTGTAAATTAAGGGATTGGAGAAAGCTATGCAAGCACAAAATCAACAATTGCATAATTTCACTCAAGAGAATGTGCTGTACTAGCTGGTGCTAATTGTTCCCATTAAATCTGCCTGAATAGGATTAAAACCAGCTACGCCATTAACCATCTTACAATCAGTTTCAGAGGTAAGTTTCAAAACAAAAATAATTAGAGTGACTTCAGTAACAAAGAAAGATTTCCATTTGCCTGTCAGTACAGCAACTTGAAAGATTCTTTCCTCTATTGTTACTTAATGGAACATGTGATTCTGTCGTGCTTTTATGTATGTTTTTGCACTATCGACATGATGATTTCAACATGTTCTTTTACTCTTTGACTTTAGGTTAGGTTCTCTTGCTGAACTGGGGTAGATGAGTGAAGCTTTCTGATAAGTTCCCACATCATGGCACAGGGAGCTTCTGTCCTTACCTGGTAGTTGTGGCAGTATGCACACAGGAAATTTGTTGTCCCACTTACTCTTTTACTTCCTTCCACTGGCATCTCTTCTACCAGTTGGAATTTTGTATAGAGATGACACTGGCCTTAATCCTACCATTAGTCAAGACAACTTTTATGTATTTTCAAAAAGCAAAAACTGACAAGGCTGTGTCAGATAATGATACTTCAGAATTCTCCTTAAAATATTTTCTTCCATTTTAATTCTTCTTGTGGTTTTTTGATTATACTAGCTGGAGGGATGACCCAAGGAGTCAGTATAATTAGATTTTAATTTCATCAGCTGGAGAGTTACAGTGTTAAAGAAGCATTGCCATAGAGAATATATTAAGAAAACAAACTTTTCTATTGTGATAACTCAGTTTTCTGTCTAGACTTAAGCATTTGGGAATGCTAGGTTTTCTGTGAAACTTGGGTACCCTTTACCTCTCCTAGTTGACATCTTAGGATAGTTATAGAAGAATGTTGCAGAGGTCAGTCATAGAAAAGATTTTATCACGAGTTGAATAAAAAAGCAGCTGCATTCATGTCAGTGATTCAGTAAATTTGTCCTGATCAAATTAGACAAATTAGGAAGCTTCTGCAAACTGGTTTTAAAAGGAAGTTTAAAAAAGTTCTATATACAATAAATCTCACTTAAATGGCACTTAGTGCAGTAATTTATCCTTCTGTCCTTTCTGCATGTGCTCTCCATGAATTTGCAACAGGTATCCACTAGATGGTGATACTACCTAAGAATGAGTCAAAATTTCTGAAGATTCTGCCAAGTGTATAGATTTGGAAGATTTCAGTCAGAGAATTCAGTTGCTATCTCATAAACTGAGATACTTCTTGAGCTCACTATGCGCAGAGACAGGCCCAACAAAAACCCAATATTCTTCTTTAATGAAACACGATGTTGACTGCATCTTAAAAATTATAGTGACTACCATCTGAATGGAATTACCATATCTAGCATTCTCTGTTCCTGAACTATCATTGTTTGGGGTATGCATCAAGCTGTTGGTTTCACAAAGATGAATTACATGTGATAATTTTAGAATAATTTGAATAAGGGATATTTAAGTAAATGAAAATACAAAACCAATTGTAAAATCAAAGAATACTGGAAGTTTAATTTGGCAATCTTGAAAATCAATGGCAATCAGGAGTTTTTACCTCTGTCAAACTTGTTTTTTTAATTGCATGCTTTGAAGAACTTCTTATTTTAGTTCTGTTGTAGCCACCTAAAATCACTACAGAAGCTTATGTGTTTTGCAGATCACATTCAGGAACATCTCCAGATAACACTGCACCACCACCACCCCCTCCAAGGCCTCATGCTTCTCATTCTCGGTCGTCATCTTTAGATATGAACAGATCCTTTTCAGTTACCCCAGGTACATATATGCTGTGTTCTGAGTGCGTATTATTTTTCAGCACAGGTATTCCTGAAGCAGACAGTGCTTTTTTTCTATGAGGAATGATTTAGAATGTTGGTTTATAAAGCACCACTTCTGAGTAAAAGAAGTTGCAAATGTCCTTCTTACTGTATTGTTTGTATTAAAATTTATATTGCACTTTACTTAATTAGCTTATTTAAAAGTCAGTTCTGAATTCTGGCATTGTAGTGTTTTAGATGAATGTGGGAAGCAAAGTCAGGAAAGAATATTCTGGCTGTATACCCATCTCCAATGAATTGCATCTGCCAGTAAATTTTCAAGGGGAGTATTTTTTAATGTATTGAAGATGGGTTAGTATTTGACTTCAGAGGAAATTATTAAAGGTCCCTTCTCCTGTTCTGCTTAAGGAGTTTTATCAGACTTCTGACTTGTCATTACTTTTAAATTCAGGATCACAAAGGTTTTAAAAGTACTAAGAGCTTAGAATGAGGGCAAAAAAACCCCCAAAGACTAGGATACTAGAACCAGTAGAGTATGACCATGTCTATACAAGATACATGTTCTCATTAATCCTGGTTTTTTTCTGTTTGCCAGTTTGAAAGGAGATGACACTAGAATTATGAGCCCAAATATGACAGGTTAATATGTGGCAAAATGGTTTCTTCATGTTGACAGTTAAGAAAATTTGATATCACTGTAATATACAGAGTAACAATCTTGGCCAAATGTGGTGTGTCTTTTACAGGACAGCAACAATCTGGAGTTGTTGCCTATCCCCCTGCAGTGCCTCCAAGACCACAGCCTTCACAGGTGATGTTGCTTCTGAAAAATCATATTCTAGCTCAGTGCATTATTTTTATATAACTGAATTTTAATATATCTCTACAATGAGTACTATTCTTGATACATTTTTGAAAGCCCCAGGATGTGAATGATTGCAAAACCTAGACTATAGCCAAATGCTAGTATTTCCTGAACAAAAAAATGCTTCTAGTCGAACCATGGTTAGGGGATTAAGGTAGATATTGAGGATGAATGAATGGCTCTGGAGCTCTGAATTGTGGGAAAGAGAGAAAAGTTATCCTTTCACATTTCATTATCCATTCCTGTAGAGTGCATAGGCCATAACAAAGACTGCGAGAGCCATTTTCCAGTTTCGCAAAATAAGGTTTTGTCTTCCATTTGTCAGGCACAGGGTAGAGCTTTACATAATATGTCTGCCCCTAAAAGGAGTGATTCCACTTCTTCACTTGGCACAGATTTGCTGATCTTTTCAGTTGTAGTCTGAGTGAAACCACTTAGCTGATTTGGTAGAAAGCATATCTTGAAAAAGTTTTTTCATTGTCTCAGCCAGCTGAATCCTTCAACTGCTGTGCAAATCTGACATGGGATAGATAAAATTGCTTTTTAGTTGTTTCTCACCAGTAGCTACTTGTTAGAATCTGAGTTACCAGCCATTGAAGTCAGTCAGTGATTCAGAAATTATCTGAAGGGATGATGGGAATGTACAAGGACAGACTTATTCCACACAGTGATTACATAAGCATGTTTCCCTATGAAACTAGACTAAAAGTCTTTATCAGGGCCCCAGAGCCCAAGTGTCTCTGTCACAGCAGAAATATCTATTGTTCAGTGAGTCTAGCTAGTGCTACGTTGCATCCCTCTTTGGTCTTATTCTCTAGATAATAGTATATCTGAACTTCCTTTCCATGGAATATTTCTGCATTCACGTCTTGCATGAGGTGCACGTTGTCCTACTGATAGGAAATAAATTTTTGTCCACTAAAATGGCAAATAATCCGTAACATTCTGTCCCTTGATATTTTTGTTATTTTATTGCAGGGCACAGGTCCTCATGTGCATCGCTCAGTGGATGCTGATGGCCTAATAGCTCATACCAGTACCTCACCTCAACAAATACCAGAGCAGCCAAATTTTGCAGACTTCAGCCAGTTTGAGGCATTTGCTGTTTCAGGTGTAAACAAAGAGGAAGAAGATGAAATTGAAACGCACCCAGAAGTCTTGCAGGTGAATAGAAAGGAAGGCCTTGTCAATTGCTTTAATACCACCAACAGCTTTGAGACTTGGTTAAAACCTATTTCTGCTGTTCTCTGTCAGTGGTGTGTTGTTTGTTGGGATTTTTTTGTTCTGTTTTGTTTTTTATGATGTCTCAATCCATTGCTAGAAAGCAATGACATTGTGCACGGCTGCACTTATTTATTGCCAAACACCTAGGCAGAAGGAATTCTTTTTGTCTCAGCTCCTGATTGTTATTTAACAGATTTTTATTAGCATACATGGGCACAAACATAATTGTGTTGATGCATTTGAGACTTAGCACAAGCAAAACCTTTCTTCTACTCATTCTTGCCAGCCTTCCAAATGAATTGCTGGTAATTTTTAAATCATGTCTTAAAGACATGCCTTAATAAAGGAGGTGCCTGTCATGTATTGTAAACATCTGCTAAAATTCCATTAATTTGCTTTTGTTCAAAGTCATCAGAGAAACAACTAAAGTGAATAGAGCTCTGGCATCCTTCTGTCATTAAATATGTTTACAAAAATTTGTTTCCTACTAGACATAGGACTTGAAAGTCTGGAAGCCTTAGTATTAATGTCATAGCTAGCTGCTATTGCAGAAACTAGTTCATGTTCTCCTTTGATGATTTGTAGCTCTTACACAGATTATAAATTCTCTGGGACACTCCTGCATCCTCACTTGCAAAAGTCCCTGTGGGGCTTTTCTCCCAGCTGTCAGTAGCATGCTCTTACTTCACGTGTTCAGGAAGGGCAGTGACACAGACCCATCTGAGCACTCTCCATGTACCTCATTGCAAAACCAGCTATGGTAGCCACTGGAAACTGCTTACGTTTAGCTTGCTGATTGTTTCACACTGAGGTGGATGGGGAACAGTCACATTGTGTTCCACTGGAGGGATTAACCTCTGGCAGTGACAGATAGGTAGTGGTGGTACTGTAATAGCAGGAACAGCTACAGCAGTTTGTGATCAGGCCAGAGTCTCTTTTGTGCTATACAGTGCCTCATGACATTGGACTTGTGTTTCTAATTGAGAAGTGAACTAGAATTTTAGGTGTTAACTGTAGTCATGTAGCAGAACACAGCATACTTGGTTTTATCCCAGTTGTTGCCAAATGAAGTATATGTTGAGTAGATTTCTAAATACAGTTTATATTCCTTTAGGTTGAGAAGCCTTCTGATTCTGCAAGTTCTCTTAGAGTTGCCAAAGCAGATGGAAGAGTTGAAGACAAAGTACCTGCAAATGTCCCCAGTAGTGCGGTATGAACCCTTGGAACAAAGCACAGTTGTCTGATGTAGATAAAATTGAATGTTTTGATTTGCAGCAGCAGCTTACTAAGTGTCCACTGGTTTTCTTAGACCTGGTGGGTGCTTTGACTAGGCATGTGTATGGTGAATTTTTGCAGCAGCAGATGATGATTAGATTTTCTTGAGACAGCAGAAAAGATACTTAAAAGTTTTCAAATTTTTGAAACAAATCAAACTGTTAAGGGCAGAATTTGATTAAAAGTAGCTTTTTATTTGGTTTCAGACATATAATTACTGGGGGGAAGCGTGCTCTGCGTTGCTGTGTGTTTACAGTATGCTGTTGTACTGTGGTGTCTCTGCTTGCACAGTTCTTTGTCAGTGTGTAGCAACTTAGTAGCTTTTCACCACACGGTAGGATTTAGTACTTCAGGTTTTTTCCAGACCAAATGAGAATGCAGCTAGGTGTCCAGCAGAAAATACTTGGTGGGTTGTAAATTCAGTTGCCTCAGTCACTGAACTGAATGTGAATCACAGGTTACCCAGTTAACAAGTTACCAAGTTGTTTATCCAAATAAAATGTAGTTCCAGAGAATTAATAGGCTGTGTTTTCCTCTTCAGGCTAAAGGCACTACCCCACTTGCTCCACCACCGAAGCCTATTCGTAGAAGATTAAAATCAGAAGATGAGCTAAGACCTGAAGCTGAGGAACATACACAGAAAACAGGTGTCATAGCTGCTGTTCTTGCTTCACAGCCATCTATTCCTAGGTAACCCAAGAAGTATATAAATACATCTGTTACTGGAAAGTTTACATTTAAACAGCATACACGCTTTCTGTTCCAGGAGTTGCAAACAATGGCAGTGTGTTTAATTTAGATTAATGCAACAATTTTAGAAGTTTTTGGGTTAAAAAAAGGTTATCCCAAAGCCTTTACTACTGGGAGACTTTTAAGAGATTTTGAATTTTAGAGTGTGAACTCTTTTTAGCTTCTGCAAGTATGTTGGAAATAAGTGGCGGAAGTATTAAAATGTAGTGTTTAATTTTAAATGGTTGCTATGAACAGTCCAAAATGTGCAGTCTGTGTGTCCTAACATGAAAATAGTCTACTGCAGTAGTCACTTTGAGGTAAATGAATATGGTTTGCTGTGTTAGCCTTCAGAAAGTTGATAATGACAAGTTTTTAAAATGCGCTGTGTGCTCTTTGATTGAAACAAACTATGTGTGCATATATGAAATGTATATATCTGTGTTTCCACACAAACAAATGTGGTTAATCAAGCCAGACAGAAGCGGGAAAATTTAACAGTGTAACAAGTAAAAAGTTCTGAAAATAGGATTCTGCTCCCTTAAAGAAGGGGGACAATAAGTGAGATGTTCAGCTAAGTGGCAAAATCACTTATTACAGTATTTCTAATATATTCTCAGATCAGTGGGGAAAGACAAGAAGGCAATTCAGGCATCAATCAGACGTAACAAGGAAACCAACACTGTTTTGGCCAGATTGAACAGTGAACTACAGCAGCAACTAAAGGTAATTCTTTAGTCTTTGTCTGTGTAAGAGGAGAGCTTCTGAGAGCAAGATGTTAGTGTTGCACAGTAACAGGCATCACTGCAATCCAATGATAAATGTAGTAGAGGATATTGATATGATATATTTAGCTATTGTTGTAGATCACAGAATATACCTATTTGTGGCAAGCTGTGTGAAATTACAAATCACACTTTCGCTACTACAATGCATATTTTTCAATGTATTGATTTGATTTTAGCTACACTAAAATTTTACTTCACGTCATTAATACTAAGTTACCTGTTATGGTCATCACATACTTCAAAAGCAGTAACAAGAAGAGCAGCTGAGGTGGTTTGTGTTCTTCTGAAGGAAAAAGCAAACCTTAAAGTCTAATTAATTTAATTAAGTTATTAAAGTTCAATAACTAGTGCAACATTAGTAATTTATCTGGTCAGGTATCATTATTTTGGAGCTATCTGTAGGCATCAGCTTAATGTCTTTTGCCTGCTGTCTTTCTTACCTAAGGTATCTCATTTTAACTATCAAGATAATTAAAAAAAATATCTTAAATGAAAACATGAATTAATAACATACTGTCTAGAATGGAAGTTGGGTCATTTGAAAAACTCAGGCCAGAATTTCACTTGTTAATGTTTATGAGAGTCAAGGTGCATAAAATTCACATAAGAGGAAAAACTGGGGAAGAAAATTGTGAGTTTCCAATATTCTTAATTCGGGTGAGAACTTACTCCCTTAACACTTTTAGACTTCATTTGAAAATAGTGTTACAGTTGGGTTTGTATCTGGTTACAAGTTTGGGTTTGGGTGATTTGAAGAAAGGAAAATATAGTAAATGGCATCAGCTTGGAGCAAAGTACTGATTTTCAATGATAAGTAATTACCAGCCAACCAATCTTCTATTCAGCTTCTTGAAGGAGTTACTGAGATTCTAGAATATAAGTTAGTCCTCAGACTGAAGCAGATTTGGATCGCATGAGGAAATTTTCAGTACTCATTCTCTGTGGACTGTCAGTAGAAAATCTTTCTTTTGTAGGATGTTCTTGAAGAGAGAATCTCCCTGGAAGTCCAACTGGAACAACTTCGACCCTTCTCTCACCTCTAAGCCTACTGCCGTTAACTGTGAATTTACTAATTTTGAAAGGGGTATTGGTTTCAAGGCCTATTTAAATATCCATGCATCTAGCTCAGTGCACTCTATTCTGCATTAAATGTTGTGGTTCTGTTTTGTCAATTTGTCCACTTTTGTATTTTAAGTATTTTAATTTCAGTACAGAGAGAAAAAAACAAACTACTTTTTCCTTGAATGTGACACTGCCTCTCACATCTTTTTCTGTGGGCATCCGTGATCTTTGTTGGACTTCAGTTTGCAGAGTTTGTCGCCAAAATTTCCAACTGGAATTTTTTTGTTTTTTTTCCTGTTGAAACATCTTTGCAGATGAGGATTGCTAATCAGTTGATTTTAACCTTTAAGCACATAAACTCTTCATTCACTATGGCATTTATTTTGTTGTACCAGAAAAGAGACAAACTACTAATCTGCCATCAGCCAATGTTACTTCCCAAGCTGCCTTTGACAATGGAAAGTTGTTCACAATTCTAGAAAGCCTGCCTCTTTGCAATTCCCCAGCTTACTCAGGTTGGGAGAGTTCTTGCAGGCTGTTTGCCGTATCAACTGGATTGAATTTTGTGATTTTTGTTGCATACATTATAGAGTATGTAACCACAGATTGCCAGGTGTTCACATTTTATCCATTCACAATCCTGATTCAGCCATATGTGTAGAAACACTTATGGCACAATTGGTAGTCTATCAAACAGGTTTTCTTTAGTTCTCCCTTTTGTGAAAAAGTTGAGTGTAGGTCCCAAACATTAATTGCACATTATCTAAGCACCACCTGTAATTGCATGTCTCACATGTTACCTTTTAATAGCAGATCACATCCACCAGTCTTCACTATAACAAATTGTATTGTCAAGTAATGTGTCAATACCTCTATAAACTTCTAATTCCCAGAAAAAAAAAAATATATATGAAACAAAAAATCAACAGTTTTGCTTTTTAGGAATTCTGGGGTACCTTCTGTCATCTTGTTTCCAGGCCTTACTTCTCTGGCATATAGACAGGCTTCACTATTAACAGAGTTCCTTGAGTGTATCTTGCTCTTCAGGTTGATGTACTGTATTAGGATTTGTTGTATATTGTACGATACACACATTTTGATCTCATATGTAAATTTGCATTAATTGCTGACTAACAGCAGATATTCTATTTAATGGCTTCTTCTGGCTGTGGGATCATAGATGTTTAACTGCATGGATGTATCTCTGCAGAATCAGAACTAGCAGTTGTGTGATTTTTACACCAATAAAACAGCACAATATTTTAATTTTGTTGATTCATCTTTACCTGGGAATTGAAACTCATTCAAATAAGGGGGAGGGTTTTATTGCAGGTTTGCAGATAATTTTTTGTAATTTTGTGGCATGTACAAGAAGTGATTGATCATAATCCTTTGGCCATTTTCTTCCTTCATTTTTACCTGTTGATCAGAAGTGATTCTCTTGGTAATCTGTGGCTATACTCCTTTTGTATCCTTCTATAAGCAAATTTAATACAAATGTAGTTTCTAAAAAGTAAATGTTAGTATTGACTTGGGTCAAATATATTTCTAGTTCTTTAGGCTTAATATCTGGTTTGATTTCCTCAGAAATTCCTTTAAAAATTAAAGATAAATCATCCTCTGTTAGCAATCCTTAACATCACTGTCTCACTTCTGTGCATAAATGAAATTCTTTTAACATCTGCTTCCCTTCCAAAAGGATAGGTCAAGTCACATTTACCACTGGTTATGCTGTTACGGTGAAAAACAAGTGTTTCTCTTTCTGGTTATCATAAACAGACTGAATAATTGGGGTGAATTTTTACTACTATAACTATTCCAACATTTTTTCAAATGTCATGGAAGTGTTAGAAATGGTTTATGTATATAATCAAAAGCAAAATTCTCTGGTATGAATGGATGTCACAGTTGCATGAAAGATGGTAGTTTCTGTTTGCATGTAAAGGGATTAAGAAATGATAGCTAAATGGGCACAAAGGTGACATATAAATTTATATATGAAGTGCAAGACTTAGACTTCAGAAAATTATATGTGAATAGGGAAATGGGAAGAAAAACCCAGGTAAAGAAATTACCCCCTCCCCCACAAAGTAAAGGAAAAAAACTTTAAAGTTGATGGACTGATCACTTCTACTATTAACTGACAAGTAGCAGGAACAGAGTGGAAAAGTTGTTCCCTTTTTTAAAAAGTGGGAAGAATGAGTCACTGCAGTTAAAGAATGTTGATCTTTTGAACCAACCATATCTTGTCCATAGTTTATTTTAAAGTTTAAAATACATTTTTAAAATAGCACTATTTTCATATTAATATTTAAGTATTAAGCCTGTGTTTATAGCAACAGGATTCTTAAATCAGAATTTAACATTTTAAGCTTAAATGTAAAAAGTCTTTTACATTCAAATGTTACATGTACATACGGATTTCTCTAACATCCATATCTTCCTAGTAGAATGACAAGTTAGTGTCTCAAGTGAAGAACTTCGGCATTCTGAACCTTTTTGTGTCTTGCCAACAAGACTATTTTTAAGAATTTTTGTGGATTACTTTTAATGCATCATTCTGTACATTTTAAACCAGTTTTTCATGATCAGAAGACCTTCTAACTGAAAAACTACTTAATGTCTTAAGAACATCACTGCCAATGATGTTCAGAAGTTACCTCACTTAGTAATGTAACCCAACTTTAATCCCTTATAAAATTATCTCCCTGTCTTCTCCATTTCTTTGATCTTGATCCAGCTACTTGATGCATTCTTTTTTATGAACTTAGATTGTAAGCTCTTTGGGGCAAGGAATTATGTACAGTACAAAAGAGGTGCTCTCTCTATTGCAAGTGTAAATGTAGACTACTAAATAGTATGGAGTGTGATTCATATACCCAGCTGAGATGGATGGACAGCAGCAGGCCTTTCTGAAACACCTGGAAAATGTTTCTCTCTGGACTTTGTCATTGGAAGAGTGTTTCTTCTCCTTTGATTTGCGTTTCTTTTGTGTCTCCTAATAATGTGCCTCTTTCTTCATTCCACCTGCTTTGGAGTTGCTTTTTTCTCCATTCATTACCTATCTTTGGACTGCAGAGAAGATTTCCAAAATGCCAAGGTAAAAAGCTGAAAAGATGCTTTGTTTTGAGCAGTATTTGAAGTCTATCTAATGTAAACAAGTATTTTCAATTCGTTTGTACTTCACATGCACCTAATTTTCCATGCAATTGTGATGAACTAGATTATCTCATATTACTGAAAATGTCATATGTGGGATAAACAAAGTTGAGGTTATAAAAACTTAAAACTAAAGAAAATAAATTTGCAGCACTGTTTCTTGTGTGACATGTCTCTGTCCCTTATGGATAGGGTGTGCTGTGTTTCTCTGTGTTTAGAGCAGACTTGAGAATTACTCTTCTGGTTTCAGCTGTGCAGTTTGTCTCTAAATGTCACTTTACGGGTGGCCTAGCCTTAATCACTTTCTTTCTAAAACAGTAAAAAATAGTAAATCATTGTTTCCTGACTCCCAGCTCATTCTAGTCTTAGTTTCTAGTGGAATGTAGTTTCGTGAAATTGTAATGTGTTGCAAAAGCACATTACTTCCAAGTTAGTAATAACTGCAATTCTTACTCTGTGGGGAAGATGAAAAAATAACTTGTGTATTTTGAATATATTTGGATGCTTATGCAGCATGCTTGTCTTGCTCTGTATATGCATGTACCAGTCATTCATCATACAGCTGTCTAGAGGAAAACACATGAAAACCAAGGATTTTATTAGCATTTAATTTTTTTTTTTTTTGTTATTAGATACGTTCTCATGATAGTCTTAACAACAGGGATTGTATAGGGAAGATGTTAATAATGTCTATATACCAATAACCAAATAAGACAATACAGGGTTGTCCTGATAGTTAATACACAAGCAAAATATAAACTTCATAGGAGTCTTTGAATCAATTGCTTTTGTTTGGCAATGTGGAGGGGGAGGAAGTTTAATACTGCATAATTTCCTTTCTGTAAAATATTTATTTAAATTGGCAAAATGGGCTTTAAAGGTGCAATTTCTGCTTTAAAGGTAGATTGTACATTATTTGTACCTAGAGCATATACTGATTGTACACATGTTTTACCTGGTTGTATGCTATTAGTGTGTTTCACAGTGATTTCACACTACTTTTTTTCCAGCCTACCATTATATAGGTATTCATTGTCTTGCATTTAAAACATTTGCATTTAAAACAGCCTTTGTTTAGTTATAATACTAAAAAATTTGGAATTGTCACTCTATGAAATAGGAAATTTGTGATCTCACAGCTTAAATCCAAAGCATTAAGAAGACTCTTTAGTACAGTTTATCACACTTCACCAGCATAATGACCTACAGTAAGCTAGATGAATTCTGTTTCATCTCTGGTAGAATATATTCTTGACACTTTTACAGATATTGATGCATTTGATCTGGAAGCAGCTGAAATTACTCTGCTGTTTTGACTGGTCTTGTTTACGAGAGGCCTACAAAATTAACAAAACATAAATAGTAAAAGCGATTTAAGCTGACTTTCAGCGGTATGTTGACGGAAACACAAATTTTGGCAATACTGCTGTTGAACCGTATGTGGCTATATTGATTCCCAGTCTGTGGAGGAGCTCACAGAGATGGGGAGATGCATCATACTCTGCAGGGCACCTACACTCTTTGGTGTATCCCTTAGAGCTGCAATGATGCCTTTTGCTTTCTGTCACTTAACCTCAGAGGTCTGACTGAATTTCATTCTTTGGCTCAAGTAAGGCTGCATTTAAACTGACAGGAAAGGGGATGGTCCATGGGGTGGAACGTGTTTATTGTAAGAAACTGCACTCCAGATCAGGGCTGTTTTCTGCAAGGAGCCTGTGGTTTTTGGTATCCAACCAAAAGGCTAGTAAGAAACACTAGCATATGATTTCATATTGAAAATCAATTCTTTTCCTGACAGCTGGGGGAGCAGAAAGTGGAATAAGCATTACAACAGGTACTGTGAACATTCACCTAAGGGCTTCTGAAGGCCTAGCGTCCCTGACTGGCTGTGTCAAACTTAGCAAGAAATTTATGTATAATAAGGAGCTTCAGCAATATATGATTTCCCTCTAGAAGTCAAAGGAAATACTTTGGGAATCCCTATAACTTAGTTGTGTGTTTCATTAAAATGCTGTGAAATTCAGCACTCTACTAAATGCTTTTGTGCCTTATTTTGCATAGCTTGAGCTAATAGAAAGCTTGAGTTAGTCAAGGTGTGGAAATACAGAGTGTATTTCAAGAAAAAGAGGAAAGGAATTTTGTAGGCAGTTGTGATTTCTAGTATTCTATCAGAAAATGCAGAAGTGCCATGCCTCAAAATGTCACTTGTTTTTTTCTGTTACATATCCTGCCTTTGGAAGAAGAGTGATTCAGTTTATAACAAACCTTTCTTTTAGAGCTTCAATCCATTGTCTTTCACTGCCCTCATGAAGGAACTTGGTCACCTGTCTACTCATCAGAAGGAACCAAGAGATCATAGAAGAATCAAGAGGTCTTTTTGCTGTAGAAGGGTACCTAAAAGGAACATTTTCCCTGGTTTACTCTGCACTTCGTCTTTCAGGATAAAGTAGCATTAAAGCAAGAACATTCCTGTGAAAAAGCAGTAGTTATTCACATGTCATTTTTTTCAAAATTAGGAGGCTGATAATTTTGATGGATTATATGGTTTTTACCATATGCTTCCATAGTGAACTTGCTGACCAAAAAAACATTAAAATAAAATTGATAACATCTCAGAACTTTCAGTATCAAAAGTACCAATTTTGTCAGTGTTTTTAATGTTTTTTTCTTGTAGCTTTTTAGAACGTAGATTTCCTTTTAGATTTTAAAACTTCCTTTTTGCAAATACCTCTTCATGTAGATTTTTTTTCTCTTGGGGAAAAGAATTTTACATATTGACTTAAGTGGGTTTGCATCTCAACTGTCACAGCTGAAAACTGCCCTGAATTAATCCAAATTGAGTACTGTCTAAAATTGAAAGTAGATGTAATTTGGATTATAAAGTTGGATTTTGGGTTTAAATTTTTCATGAAGATGGCATAGATTTTTTGTCCTAACGTACACCTATTTTCTTTTGCATATACAGTGCAATTTTTAGAGTTCTGTATAAATACTTCTTGTATTAGCACTTGCTTAACTGTTAGACTGTATCTGTTCTAGTATTTTGGCTTGATGCTGCACTATTGCATTGATCAGGATGATCAGATAATTTGCAAACTACTCATTCATTCATTCTGGTCCCAGCCTTTCAATTCGTGAGGAATTGTTAATGGTTATTTCATGTTCAGGTTTTTGTTGGCTTAATGTGATTAAAGAGCTGTAAGTTGGAGGTCTTATATAAATCCTAGTATTTCTAAATAGTGGAGAAATTACGGTATATCACAATGACTCATTTTTAAGATTCAAAATTTTTATCTAACATCAACTACTAAAAACATATGGATTTATTTATTTATTTATTTTTACTTAGGGGAGAGAGATGTACAACTCTTGTGGATGTGTGCCACAAGTCTCTTTTTAAAGCTTTATTTCAGCAAAGTTTGGTGCTGATTCAGAAATCTATAATGTTAAGTCTCATTGCAGAATGAATCCTTCCCAAAGGAGCACTCCGTATTTTCTTTGACATGTTTTCTCCTTGGGTCTTCCTGTTGGCTTCTGCTACCAGATGAGTCCCTGGGACTGCAGGTGTGCTCCAGTGTGGCCAGCACAGCTGGGAGTGGCAAAGGACTCATGCCTCATCTTGCCAGGGACAAGCCTGGTACTGTCCCAATCTCCCATCCCATCTACTGTAAAGCTCTGCCAGTGAGCCCTGTTCCTTCCTGAGCAGACTCTCCTCCCTCACTGAGAAGGATGAATCCCATCTGATGCCAGCAGGCTGGTGCTGCATAGGCCATTGCATTGTCAAAACCCCAGAATTTCGGCAGTGACACCAGGCATTAAGCCATATATTAATACGCTCAGCCCCTCTGTTTATTCCAGTGTTGTTGCCTCGAACTGGAAGTATAGAGGAAAATGTAAGTTGTGTCCCAGATTCCCCACAGTGATGCAGCAAAGAGCACCTTCTTCCAAACACCAAAACCCATTTATCAGTGTGAGTTTTTAAACAACAACACTGGCCTAAACTCACACCGGTAAATATATTAAACTTTTAATACACTTCAATCTCCATAAACAACTCTTCAGGAAACAACAGAAAAGGAGCTCATTTTCTTCAGCCACTTACATACTTTTATAATTACAAAAGACTTTCCACAAATACATTACTGTAGATTTTTCTTCTTTTCCTGCAGGAGCCTAGAACTGATTAGTTCATTACCACATAAAAGAGTTCAGTATCTCAAAAGTCTTGCTACAAAATTTTCTTGTATGAATCCAGAAGTAAATAAACACCTGCCATTAATGGACTGTATCAAAGACACAGTTGTATCCAGGAGGAGGTAAGGGAAAAATAATTCCTTAATTTCTCAATTATTTACAATTAATGCATTCTTTGTGAGTTGTAATTGCCCATGGGTTTAAAGCAATTGAAGGAAAAGGGGGTAATTTTTCTATAATTCTAAACAGCTGCTTGAGAAAGGTATGTTCTTATTACTATGTCTGTATCTGAAATTACACGTTCTGTCTTTGCATAAATTGCTACAGAAATGAGATCAAGACATCCAACACATTTGTAAGTGATTTGAAATGTGTTTGAAATAGTAAGCCTAAGCAGGTTGATGTCAAGAGCCCAAAAATGGGAAAGATCTGCCTCTAATACAGAATATTTGAACTCTGAGATTAAAAGTGTGCTTTGGGACAAGTGTGCATTACCATGCTGTAATACACTGCACTTGCTGGCAAAAAGCTGCTAGTAAGCACAGAGGTCTGCTCCAGCATTCAAATGAGCTGCAAGAATACAATTTTGTTTGCGTAACTGCAGCTCTTTTTGCCACACCTGGTATGAGGCACAAAGCTAAAAGATACTATTTATTTTTTTACTTGTTGTTCAGAAACAAGTACATAGTGCTGACATGAGAAGGTTCTGTGCAGAAATGATAATTGCTCAATTATTGGTCAGAGGTGTATATGAGGAGAACAAACACCAACCTTGGCTTCACTTTGTGAGAAGCTTGTCGTATTCTAGTTCTCTTCAGCTGACTTCAGCTCACAGGTATGTACCCAGCTACAGGCAGAAACTCCAAGGTACATTTACCAGCATGCAAACTCCTAGAGAATCTTGGCAACAAAGGAGATAAATTGTATAAAGAACAAGAACAACCTGAGGGGACAACCACTGGGATCCCTACTGCTTTGTAAATCATGGAGATTTACATGATGGGTGAGGCAGGGAAGTTGAGGCTGAATCTGTAAGCCTCACTCTGTAATCACTCAGTGATTAAATGATCCTTCTGTCCCCAGCATGCTGCACAATCCAAAACTACATCTTGTGGCTGAAGGAGCTGCTCCTCCAAAGATGCCAAACAAACGGAAGCTTCTATTCCCTGGCCACACGCCCACTCTAGGCTGATGAAAAGCTTTGCGCTCACATAGAAGGATAAAGATTCCACTCCTTGTTCAGTAAGTGTAAAATCAGTGTGGAATCTGAATGTGTTACCTAAAATCTGAATATAAAATAAATCTAGAACCAAAGGCATGGTTTGATGGACCAAAACAGAAATTTTGGATCTAAAACCAGCCTGATTTTACACTAAACTAATACAGACTTTTTTTCCTCTGACTGTGCATAGAAAGATGATACCAATTAATAGTAACATCAGAGTAACTACAAAATTGAATATCCTGGATTTATTGAACAGTAACTACGCAATTTTGGAATTTCACAATACTTAATTTATGTAGACTGCTAACATGCCAGTTTTAATCTGGTGACATTTTATTATTATGTATAGTAATGGAAAAATGTAAACTCTGCAAACATTCAGACAGTGCTAAAACTCATCTTCCTAACACAGCCAAACCAATAGCAGCTTCTGCAAATGAAACATCATGTATTTAAAACTTCACTTTATTAACAATAAATTAATCTGTGGCATCACCAATCAACAAAACACTAAAGTGAGCAGATTGTCTATGTAATAATCAGAAAGGCAACATTATCACTATCTTCACAAAAACTGGAGAAATGCCAATGAACTTATATACATACACCATTTGCAACCATATGAATGCTAAGCAGAAGAAATGTATTTCCAAGTTTCTCCAATTTTTCTGTTAAGTAAGGCAATAATAGAAAGCACGGCATCACAATTAATTACAACTCTAGGTACTGTGCCCTGACATAATGCAGTGCCCAAAGGAATGTGC